TAACCCCTATGCCACCACTCCACACACACAAATATCCCCCGTGTAAACTTAACAGACTGTTGGGGCAAGTGCTGTTAGCGAGTAGCACCGATGAAGGCCGGCACGGCACACGAGGGGGTGGGTGGCCAACACCACGTCCGGCCGCCTTTGTCTCCCCCCAGTGGGTGATGTTTACACGCCACACCAGGTTATTTATTTGAGGCTGAGTCGACCGTGGGGGAGGCCCAGCACCGGTTGAGATAATCGTCACTGGCGTTGGCTGTGAGCGGGGAATCGAACTTGGGTCCGCCAGGTTCGTAGAGCAGCCCGCTAACGGTTGTGCCACCGCTCCCCACACAGAGACACGTACATAGGTCATGGTCACAGCCACCAATTGTAGCAACAGCAACGAGACACAACCATTTTCTCAAACAAAACCAACGGGGTGTCCTCTATTTTACAGCACAGCATTTTCAAATCTCGTCGTGGTTATTTCACGCGTTCGTGTTGTTGTTGTTGTTGTAACAAATATCGTGGATATAGTTACGACAACAACAAACAGTGACGACCGCCGGGGTTGGAGAAGATAATGGTGGTGGTGGGAGGGCGCTTTTACATCCACGCACGGCGCTTGCTCACTGCTTGATCAGAGACAGCAGTGGCAAGACAAGGAGGTGTGGGGTGGGATTAAGCGGTTGTCATTGGAGGTGGGGAGGGGGGCTAAGTATAAGCAAACTGAGCAACGTCTTGAATCCATAAATACAATAGTTCATGAGGTCTCCCATATATTATGGGCGCACACGGTGGAGAGATGTTATCTCCCTCGCCTGGTATGCAGGAGGTCGTGGCTTCGATCCCGACCCTGACGCCTGCTGCTGTATATTTGAAGTTCGCATGCTTTCTCTCTCTCCCCGTGATCCCGTGGATTTTTCTCCGGGTTCTCTGGTTTTTCCCTCCACATTTAGAAACACGCGTTTAAATTATTTGGCTGCTACTACAAATTTCCACGTGACGATAAGCCACTTCGTTTAGCTATAATTTGTGGCCAGGTCGTTTCTGAAAAAGAGCTACATAGCTCAGTGCGCCATATTTGGTAAAGTAAAACATAGTTTCGTTTACCTTAACCATAGTGGGTTTTTTTTGGCTCAGCCATGTGCAGGGGCGGCCCTAGACTAGCTGCCAGCAACTGGCAGAGCCATAGGCCAACCATGCAATCCGAGTCCCCTCCTCAAAACACCAAGGGCAGATCTAGGCTGAGGTTTTTGATAAATTTGGAAACATTTTGCCCCTATTTTCCGTTCAACGTGTTTTAAGCGTATTTATTTTTAAACAGAGATACAATTATTCGGTTTGCTCATCCATCCGTCTGTCCAACCAATGTTTCTGAGATCAGATAATATAGAGACACGACATTTTCAGCATAGATTTGCACACGACAGCTCGGCAATATTTCAGTCCGATTTATGGTATTTACTTTTGCAGTAAATACAATATTTACCGTGAATAAATTCTCAGAAATGTTGAGAAATTAACCATGATTCTTATTTCCTCTGTACGTGCACGGGAATTGAAATAATGACACCCAAAAACTACCACCACGTGGACCAACCCAAAAAGACCCACCACGCGGACTAACTAAAAAAAACGCCACGTGGGCCAACCCAAAAACTAACACCACGTGGGCCAACCCAAAAACTAGTATTGATCATTATAGTGCCTACGAAAACATACATTCTAAAGGGAAAAAAACGGTGTGCGAAATTCAATTAAAATCTTAACAAACATTAAAAAGCCCCAGTTAATGAATCTTTCTCATCCCGGTCATGCCTGTATCTCTCTTTCATGTAACTTCTTCTCCTATCATTCTCCTTTCACTTACACCTCTCTCATCTGTACAATCTCAATTCTCTAGACATCTCTGTATCTTGTCATCTCCCTTGCCTAAATAGAAAGCCCCCCCCCCCACCGACAAAATAAAACATCATTACTACTTCGGCTCCCCAGTGCTTCTGTTTTCAAAAACTTCACTAATTGATTCCTCCGACCCAGGTTGAGGACTCTGTTTATCAGACTCGTGGCGGTGGAGGGGGAGCGAGGGTTGGAGGGAGGGGGGCGAGGGGTGGGGGCGAGGGGTGGGGGGAGGGGGCGAGGGGGGGCGAGGGATGGTGGGGGGGGGATTCGGTCCTGGGTTGGCCACGGGCAATAATTGAAAATAAATGAATACAGGGTTTAAAAAAAAAACATTGAAAATCAATAATTATAAAACTAATTATTACATGACTCATTTGGTGGTGCTGCATTTTATATATACATTCAGATTTTTTTCGTGCTTTTAAGGCCGCAGTGTTATTAACGAATGTTTCGATTTTTTGGGAGGGGGGGCGAAATATAACATGCAATCATGATAACATTTATATTTTGATTTAAAGCTTTCGTGACTGCAGGGATTCATATTCTTGGTTCTTTCGGTAAAGTCACGTAGAAGGGAAACAACATAATAAAAATATAAAACCAATAAAATTCTCACGACGTTTAGACTGCAACACAAGCAATCATCATCAGGTGTGAAAACCACAGCAGTAAAATTTAAAAAAGTGGCGTTTTTTTAACGTTAGCACCACGGAGAGCGATTTGGCAGTTATTCAGTTGGACGAGTCCATCTATGTTCGGAAAAGAGGAGGGGGGAGACGAAAATAATGGATGCGGTCTGAAAGCCACCGTAAGCGTGAACAATCAATTAAGACCCGAAATGGTTTATCAAATCCTTACAATGATTGCTAAGCCAGAATCCATCTCGGTTGAAATTGTCTCTGTGCTTGTATATGTGGATAGCCTCATGAACGAATCTCGCATGGTAGCCAGATGGCTTGCAAAGAACCTCTGTCTTGGAGAAGTCAATGTCATGTGAGCCTACTGAATTATAACAGTGATTTGCCACGGCTGAGGTGTTGGTCCTACCGTGTTTTAGGTCTGCTTTGTGTTAACGAATGCGGTCCGAGACATGTCGTTTGGTTTCTCCAATGTAACTACTACCACAGAGGCAACTTAGTTTGTAGACGTCAGGGTACTGAATAAGGGAACTACATCAAAACCAAACAGTTATCGTTGAAACCCTCTGCTGCCAGGCCACCAAAATTATACGGCTTACCAAAAAAACAAAGTAGATACACCCCTTCGTCCCATCGTCTCTACTGTCAACTCCCCCACCTACAAACTGGCTCGTTTTCTGTCTGAAATCCTGCGGGCTTTCACTGAAAAAACCACCTCTGCGGTACAAAATACTACTCACCTGGTATCGACAATCACGGGTATTTCCCTGTCCCCAGACGACCTGCTTGTCAGTTTTGATGTAGTTTCATTATTCACCAAAGTTCCTGTACCTGACATCATCGCAATCATTGAAGACTTGGTTCATCAAGGACTAAACACTGAGGTACCCCCCCTGGTGAGACACTGCTTAACCAATACATACTTCACTTGGAATGGAACTTTCTACAAACAAATTGAGGGCACCCCAATGGGCTCCCCCCTATCTCCGGTTGTAGCCAACATTTTCATGGAGAAATTTGAGACTGACGCCATCCAAACTGCCACTCTGCGCCCAACCTAATGGAAGAGGTACGTGGATGACACTTTTGTCATCTGGCCACATGGCCGGCCTGCTCTAGACCAATTCCTCGATCACATCAATTCCATACACCCAGCCATCACATATACCATGGAAGTCGAAAAAGATGGCAAGCTACCTTTTTTGGATGTCCTAATAAAAAAGAGACCTGATGGTTCAATGAGCCACTCTGTCTACAGGAAAGCTACCCATATGGATGCTTACCTGAAACCGGATTCCCACCACCATCCATCCCATAAGAATTCCCTCATCAAGACTCTGCTCCATAGAGCCCAATGCATATCCGACCAGGAACACATAGCCAGTGAACTCAAGCACGTACACCAAGCTCTTAAGGCTAATGGTTACTCCGACTACACAATCCACAAAGCTATCACTCCAACCATGAAGAAGGACCCTCTTGAGGAGCCTTTCAAAACCATCACTTTACCCTACATTGCGGGGATCACAAAAAAGATCTCCAAAATCTTGAATAAACACAAGACCCAGGTCCGATTCAACACATTACATAAAATCCGTGATCTGGTTCCGTCTGTAAAATATGTGATTCCGGACATACAGTACCCTGGCGTCTACAAACTAAGTTGCCTCTGTGGTAGTAGTTACATTGGAAAAACCAAACGACATGTCTCGGACCGCATTCGTGAACACAAAGCAGACCTGAAACACGGTAGGACCAACACCTCGGCCGTGGCAGATCATTGTTATAATTCAGTAGGTTCACATGATATTGACTTCTCCAAGACAGAGGTTCTTTGCAAGCCATCTGGCTACCATGAGAGATTCGTTCATGAGGCTATCCACATATACAAACACAGAGACAATTTCAACCGAGAAGATGGATTCTGGCTTTGATAAACCATTTCGGGTCTTAATTGAGTGTTCACGCTTACGGTGGCTTTCAGACCGCATCCATTATTTTTCGTCTCCCCCCCTCCTCTTTTCCAAACATAGATGGACTCGTCCAACTGAATAACTGCCACATCGCTCTCTGTGGTGCTAACGTTAAAAACAAGCCGCCACTTTTTTCAAATTTTCTTGCTGTGGTTTTCACACCTGATGATGATTGCTTGTGTTGCAGACTAAACGTCGTGAGACTTTTATTGTTTTTTATTTTATTGTTTCCTTTCTACGTGACTTTACCGAAAGAACCAAGAATATTAATCACTGCAGTCACGAAAGCTTTAAATACAAATTTAACATTTATATTATTTAAGATTACATTATATTATCACCAAGCGCCGGGGCTTGGATTCGATACCCCGCAGACGCGCAACCCCCTCATCACCCGCCAACTCCCCAACCACGCGGGCCCGAGCGACCAGCCCCGCCCCCCCCCGCCGAGCAAGTTGCGACCAATGGGCGGCCAAAGATCGCGACCGACCTCACGGTCCAATCGGGAAGGGCCTTCAGTTCCTCGCGCGGGCGAACCGCGCTCTGTGGCCCCCCATATCGACTAGGAAATCTAATCGCGTTGTCGAGCACGGGGGGGAAAAACATTTTTAGTGCGGTTTTTTTTTGTTCCCGCCGGTGTGGTGGTGGTGGTGAGAGACCCTCGCGGGAAGGGACCCCCCTCACCCACCCGCCCGCCCGCCTGCCTCCGCCGCTCAAGGCAAAGGCGATGGCAACGATGGGCAGCGTCAAGGACGAGCTGTTGGTGTTCGGTTACGCGTGCAAAGTGTTTCGCGACGACGAGAGAGCGCGCTCGCTCGATAGAGGAGTCCACCTCATTCCGTGGATGGGCGACGAGTCCATCCGGATGGATAGGTCTGTCAACCCCCCCTCACCCCTTCTCCTTTCCTGCCCTCTTGAACGAGCGAACGAACATTTCACACGCACACACAAAACCGGCCACTCGCAAACAAAACTGCCGATAAATCGCGACTCGCATCGCGGACTTTCTCTCTTCGCTGCTACGGTTGTAAATGTTTTTGTTTTTTTTATACGCCAAGTTCGTTGCTGCTGCTGCTGATGATGTTTTTAGTTTCGCATTTCGGGCCTACCCACGTCTCCCGTAAATGTGTCGCGACCACCGGTCTTGCCTGGTTCCCCCTGCTCGTAGATCCGCGCCTCGCGCCCCGCAGGGATGGCTCAGGCAAGACCGTAGGCTCGTGCTCCGGTGCCGACAATTGTTTTCGTGAGGGGAAATCCGTGGGAAAGTTGGGGTTTTTTAAATTTAAACCTTTGTTGCAAAGTAAAACGCGGCTGCTGCTAAAAAACAACAACACAAATATATCTTGATGTTGTAGATACCTGCCTGAGATTGTGTGTCTGGTAATGCGTGAGGTAATAGCACTTAAAATCGCGGCAGTCCCCACGTTGCCCCCTCCGATATAAACCGAAGTCTTATTTTTACCCATTCTCCTAATATCTCACGTAAACCGAAGTCTTTTATTACCAATTCTATTCGTTAATCCACTGCTGGATGACCGAAGAAGGCCTTCCGCGGTCGTTTGGACCTCGCTGGTCAGGTGCGGGGTGGTGAATTTTGAGTGGCCCCTGAACCGGTTCGGCTCTTCGCTCGCCACTGATGTTAGCCGCGCACGGGAATTTTAACACCTCGCCAGAGGGTGGACGATGCGATTCCATAAAAGCATTGTGCCAACCACGCCACATCTCCCCCCCAGCCCGCCATGCATTGTAATAGTCCTTTTCCCTAGAATATTTTAACAAGCCCCAAGACACACAACTCGCGGTGTAGGTAGCTACAAGATAAAATAGATGTTTGTAAAAAAAAAACCCAACAACAAGAAATTCGCTTGCGTCTTTAATGACAACAACAACAAAAAACTAAGATAAGGTAAATATAATCGGATGGGTACAAAGTTTCTGTAACTTTCTCGACTTACAATGTGTTTGAGTTTTGGTTTAACGCAGGTGGTCGAGCCATTGCAGTGATTGTGTGACAGGTTCACTGGTCAAACGAGAGGTAACGGTAAGAAACATCTAAACATGGCATAACAATATATCTCTACAAACTACAGTATGTATTACAGCATATATATACCATGATGAAACACTGCCCAGATTATATCGTTGTTTGCATTATTGCCATCAGTTAATTGCAATAGCTAACCGAGCTAGCATTGTATGACTACATGTTGGTTACAACAGCATTTTAATGGTTTTTTCCACGTACTAAAAACACTGCTGTACATACGATGTTGATATGCTTTTCATGTTAGTAGCGAGAGTTAAATTTTATGGTGGCTTCGTAATGTTATAATTACCTAGACGTGACACGATGTGTTAGCCCGAGATGTCTTAATAAGCGTCGGTGTTTTTCATTTAGCGTTGGAGTGATGCACAAGTTGGTACGATTTCCAGTGGCAGAGCTGCCCACTGCAGTAGCAATTTTCCCCGTTTGTCGTTTTCTCTCCGGTTTTCCTGGCGCGGTTCGAGGTGCCGCAGGGAGTGGGTGGGGGGGTAAGTATCCACGTGAACCGGACCGACCGGTCCCTGAGGCCCCCCTAGCACTGCTAACTTTCTCTCCCCTGGCCCCCCCCCTCCCGATCCCCGCCTCTGCCGCCGGCAGGTACGACGGGAGGGGTCACCTGCACGACCTCTCCGAGTACGACGCGGAGTACACGTGGAACCGCAGCTACGACCTCTCGGAGGAGGAGGCTCGCATCGAGGCGCTGTGCGATGTCGAGCGCTACCTGGCGCTGACCACCAACCTGCTGGACGAAGAGGCGCGGCATGGTGTGACCCGCACCCCCCCCTGCCACCTACCCCACTTACCCACACAACCGCCGCTTGGTGTGGTCATTAGATGCCCACTAAATTATATCCATAGACCACCTTGGCTTAAAGTTCTACGGGTTGTCGTTGACTCGTCTTAAGATAAACTAGATTGAAAACTCATTTCTTAGATTGCAAACTAATTTCTATAGAACTGCTTTATGTGTTTAGTTTGGTGTCCTTCCCCCGGTGCCTCTGATTAGCACGGTTGGCTACGTACGGTGCAAAATAATTTAAACATACATACAAACGAAATCTTTTTACGATAAACATGATTTTTTTTTTACCAAGTAAGGCCCACTGAGCTAAGTAGATTTTTTTTAGAAGCGACCTGGCCACAAATTATATCTCAACGAGGTGGCTTATCATCACGTGGAAACATATATCAGCCAAATATTCTAAACGCATGTTGATTCTAAATGTTGAGGGAAAAACCGGAGGAGCCAAAGCAAAATTAACGTGACCACGTGCAGTTTGAATGGAGCAGAGACTTAGCTGTAGACTTCGTCTGGAGCAGATGTGGTTGTAGACTTAGTTCATCTGGAGCTCATCCGGAGTAGATGAGCGTAGACCTAGTTTGTGTTCTGGTCGTGGTCAAGATAGTATTCAGTATCACGATTCGGTTAAATAATTGATTCCTCTTCATCACATTACTATTTTGTGTCGTTTTCCCATCTCTTTCTCGCTCTTACAGTTTTATTAGGTCCCTCGGCTTAAATTTAAGAGGAGTGGATCGCCTTTTATATGCTGTATAAATCCACATGTTATTCATTTATTCTTACACGTAGTATTTGATGGCTATGTAATTAATGCAGCAAATTATGAATTGATGCATCGCGACATGCCTTAAAATTGGATGTAATTTTTGCAATGGCCATGGGATCTAGCATCAGGAAAGTAGTGACACCCCGGAGACCGACATCAACGGCATTGACTCCGATGACCTCTGTATGTTAGCGATGTTAAGTTTCGTGCGGCGAACTTAGTCAGTGGAGAGTTGATTAAGCAAAAGTTTTGGGCTCTTCTCGTTTTAGGCTTGGCTCATGAACAAGGCTGAATAAATTAAACACCTCTCTGGCCATTCCAGAGAGGGTAGTATGCAATGAAAATATTTGACATTTTAAATACCATCAGACCTGGCCACGAGTCAACGATTGGGGTGATCTGGTGGGCATAAATAACCCTGAGTTTCCCAAAACGCTGACCAACGATCTGTTAAGTGGACATTATGATCATTTTATATATTTAGAATTTCCAAATATATTATTCTAACAATATGGGCGTCGGACAAAGTCCGTTCGTAAATCTCATTGAGACGGTGAGCCCTGTCTAACCCACGCAAGCAATTATTCGCATTATTTCTTGAAAACCTTCAATAGCCTCTTGTTTTAGCCTCTACACAAGAGGGGAGGACACTTTTCCTCCATGCTCTGCAATGAGATTGCTAGATCACAGTCAAACCGATAGAGTTCTATTAATTCTCAGAGCTATAAATTGACAGAATAAAAGACGAAACCAGATGGATTAAAATGACGATCGCTTTTTGCGCGGTCATCGGTGACCAGACTGAGTACCGTGAACTCGCATTCGAGATCCGCGCTTAATCACCGGCAGCCGAAACCTGGCCTCGAACCGAGAACCTCGGCAGCACTAGCTTCGGCTCCTCGCCCTCGATGCAGTTTAATATTTGAAGTCCCCAAGATAACATTTAAAATTTTTAGTACCCCAAAGTTGCTGTGGTAGACCAATAAATCCTTGCCCCAGTGTTCTGCTTGCGGCATTGTAAAGGGCCGCAGCAGACCTCCGTGATATCTCATTAATGCCGTTGGTCTCGCATGGCCGCAAAGTTATTGTCTTTATTGTCGCTGTCCTCGCCGCGTTCGCGTAAAACGACGACGCTTTTGTTGACTCTCGTTCCGGTGGTAGTGCGCGCGCATGCGGTTTCTCTGTTTTTTTTTGTTAAATCGCATTAAATGCCTACGCAGCGTTTACTGGTGGTGGTTTCCGCGGGCTTGCCGAGGGTCACATTCCCCTTGTGCGCGTTGGACCGTGGCAAATTTTTCCCCCCACCCACCCACCCACTCCTCGTGCGCGTTCCTTCGTTCTCACAGAGGAGGAGTACAAACGGCTGCACCAGGAGCTGGCGGAGGACGGTGCCTACCGAGCCGTGGGCTTTTCCTACGGCGACGAGTACTATGACCCCACGCAGCCCACCGAGGAGGAGGACGCACACCCCAAACCCCAGCCGCCGCCAGCGCTCGCCGGTAACGGCGGCCAGAGAGAGACCACGTTGCCATTTTCGCTTCCTTGTCGGCCCTCTTTTATCGCCACTACCGCTGCTGCTACGGTCACGGATGCCACCGTGCTGTAATGGCCAGCGCACCCTGGCATGCGCAACAGATGCGGTTAAACGACCGGTGCAAGGATATTAATATCACTGCATCCCCCACCACCCACGCCACCTTGCCTCTGGCCACCCAGCAGTATAAATGAGTACACTGCGGTTAGTCGATCGGCAGGTTGCGTGTGGTGAGATGAAGTGTGGGTACGCCCACGTCTTCAAAGACGACCGGCAAGCGTGGAAGAGTAGGCAAAAGTACCATCGTGCTGTGTTCAACCACCTTGGTCAAGGACTCGGCATTTCTCTTGCTCCTGCTGTCCTCGCACTGCTCGATCTTTGAACTGCCGTTGTTTTGTTTCTCTAGTTACTGTGTACACCTGAACAACCATTTGCTCAATGCACTGCCGGATAAAGACCTCGCTACGCCATGCAGGTCATGGGCATTCTCGGAGCACACCTCGCTGCACGCCGGCCGGTGTGGGTTGATGAACGCAGGGGCCATCGGCACAAGAGCAGTACAGTACAACAATAGCTTTGCTCCACTTCACCCCCAAAGCCTCGGCGCCCTGCAGCCTGCAACGTTGACGGTGGTCGCCACTCCAAGCGCGATCCAGGCTGCACGCTTCCTCGTCTTTTTGCGACGGCATCATTGGTGCCGTCTGTCACTGGCCCTGATTGGCGTTACGGGCTTCTGGGTCTGTGCCCAGCAACTGTTGTTTAACGAATGAGACGCCCGCGAGCTGCGTTCACGCCAGGGTGTCGCTTGGCGTCCCGGGAGGCCCTGTTGATACGTAAAACGACTTGGTCCGAGAAAACCTGGGGTCATGTTTTATACGTCGCAACGCAATTGTAAGTTATTCAGCGTCTAAAAAATGCGACCTCGGCCCCCACATGCTATATAAATAGACGACCCTGCGCACCATAATTGCTTTTATTTTGAGCAGAGGGGAAGAAGGAATAGAAATTCTGCAGGCCCGTGAGGAAGGGAATGCCAGGCGACGTTATTGTCTAAAGTGCAAGCGAGGACGTGTCATTTTGGTTCGCCCTTCGAATTCTTGAAACTGAAACCTAAACTATTTTTTTATTTTACCAGCTAAGGCCCACTGAGCTGTATAGCTCTTTTTCAGAAGTGACATGGCCACGAATGATAGCTCAACGAAGTGGATTATCCTATGGAAACTTATAGCAGCATACTCTAAACACATGGTGATTTTTAATGTGGAGGGAAAATCCAGAGGGCCTGGAGGAAAATCCATGCGATCACGTGGAGAACACGCAAACTCCAAATATACAGGTGTCATGGTCGGTATCGAACTCATGACCTCCTGTATACCAGGCTAGGTAGTTAATATTTATCCACCGGTGCACCCGTCCTTCACCAACCCGCACTGATCAGCACGGTGAGGTATGGTCAAACAACCCTCATTGCTGACACTGCGTTTGGGGAGGCCTTCATCCGCTGGTGGATTGACAAAGCAGCTGTGTAAGTTATTCTCAATAAGCTGCAATTTGGTTTACGAGTGTACTTTTATCTGTTTTCTGTATGCATTACAGGCCAATTGCAGTTTATAATGCACCATCACAGCTCCGATTCTCATTAACCTTGCATTTTCTTCCCCGCACAAATCAAAATAACCGATGACCGTACTTTTTTCAAAGAGTCTTGACATTTTCGTCGCTACGTTCTTGCGTGCGCAACCTCAATAAAGAACGATGCTCCCTCTGTGCCGTGGCCTGTGGTGCGCCCACCGCCGTCAACAACAAGCACGCCGCTCCCTTGTAAACGCCCCGCAAGCCCATTGACTGCGGTCCCCTTCGTGATTGTGGCCGCCACGGTGGCTCGGAGATGTTAACCACCTCGCCTGGTATACAGGAGGTAGTGGGTTCGATCCCAACCCTGACGCCTGCTGTAAATTTGGAGTTTGCATGTCTCCCCATGGTCGCATCGATTTTTTTAAATCCTGGAGTCCTCCGATTATTATTTCCACATTTAGAATCAACGTGCGTTTGGAGTATTTGGCTGCTATAAAATCCGCATGGGCAATGAGCCACTTCGTTGAGCTATCATTTGTGGCCAGGTCGCTTCTGAAAAAGAGCTATACAGCTCAATGGACCTTACCTGAAATAAACAGTTTATAGATTGCCTTGACGGCATTTTATCGTATGCGATGTGTTTTTTTTCTTCTCATCTGTCGGGAATTTTGTGCCAGTTTTGCCTGCAGTCGAGAAAAATCCCGAGCCGGAGGTGAACGAAGAGCCGTTCATTGCCCCAGAAGAGCTTAAATTACCCTCGGGCATGGAAGTGGTGAGTGCAAATATGTAGAATCGCTTAATGCACGCCGACCATTGTGGCCATTGATGCTTGCCGGTTACGTTATATATTCGGAGTGAAGTTAAGTGGGTCATTTTCAAATCTCTGACCTTGGGTTGGCATTTACTTTCCCCGTCATGGTGGCTGGGCCCCCTTTGCTTTGATCGCAAGTCTGGCTGGTCCCCCCAGCCCCCCCCCCCCCACCCCCTGTAGATTCACACTGATAAAATTGATGGGCTTCAGAGGGAGACGGTAGGGTTTGACGGGGGAGGGGTGTGGAGGGGGGCACAGGAACGATTGGGGGTGGGGGGGGCTGCTGCGCGGGGAGGAAAGTGAAAATAGATGAAAGGAAGTGGCTCCCTGGTTATCAGTGTGAGGTGACCTTTACAACGGCCGAGCGTGGCTCTCGCGGTGCCAGAACAGATTGATGGAAGCAGGGGTTAATGACGGGGTCGCTGCACATGGCGGGCCTGTGATGAGGTAATTTCCCGCGGCATTTAAAATTCCACCCCGGCCGCCCGCAGCACAGCGCAATAAAATGTTTGGGCCGAGGGCCTGGGTCGCCGCCAAGTTTGTGTGTGCCGTTTGTGTGTGCCGCCGTGACTGCTCGGTGTTAAAACTAATTTTAAACATTGGGGTGTTTGGTGGTTGTGTGGGGTTGGGGGGGGGGTTGGAGGGCTTGCAGCAGAGAGAGAGGGGATAGTGGTGGTGGTGGTGCATGGGTGGACCTGGAAGGGGGAATCTACTTTGGAGAGATTGAAAAAAAATCGTATAGGTGTGTGTGTGGCTCGTATCAACATTTCATCTTTGAAGTGGCGGCGCTCGCTGTAAATGTAGAATCGGTTGTGGGTTTAATGCTGCTCGAGGACAGCACCTTGCCGAGCGAATAAATTGCCAGCCGTGTCCAGAAAGTGTTTATTAAAATTACACATTCGGGTGCGAAGGGAGCGTTGTTTTACATTAACATGAAACTGCATCCATTCCGTTGATTTAAACAAATTGGGTAGCTCCCGCGTGTGAAGGGAGCTTGGGCAGCCACCTGCACGTAATTGGAAATATGCTTTGAAATAATGCCCCCCGCTGGATTTCTACTGGAAAGAACTTCATTGTTATCCACTTCTCCCTTCGGTTTGCGAGATTCATCGTTGTAATCTACAACGCTTCGCTTTTAAAAGTTCCGCCTTGGGAACGTCTTTTTCTCGGTTTAAAATAAATATTAAAACAATGTTAAACAAAAAGGCGCGGCGACCCCTTGCAACTTCATGCTCACGCCACTGCTGGCACAATGTGGCACCCCCTCCCCCCACTAGAGGAGAGGTCTGAAGAGCTCCTCGAGGGAGCCTTCGACCTGCTCGTCGGCCGCCGGTTAGACATCTTAGAGATACCCACGTTTCACCCCACCGCACGTGACCCGCCGATGGATCATCTGTGGGTTGAACCCTTTTATGCCGCTGGGTGGACGTTGTAGACGCTCGCCCATCGTTTAGACTTCCGCGCTGAGAGATTGAATCGAACCGGCAGCCTCTGGGTTGCAAGTTGAGTGCGCGCCAACTATTATGGCACAGCATCGTCCCCTCAAAAAAATAAATCAATCCCCCGTATTTTTTATTTATTCTGTACATATTTGCACATTCCCACCGTTACAAAGGGGAACCTATTTTGCAACAAACAACATAATTTCACGTCTCAATAAATAGCGCAAAATAAAGTTACTTTTTCTCTTGCCATAATGGCTCACACATTTACAGTTTGTGATTTATATGCGGGAGAGTTTAGCTGCTCGCCGAGACCTCTGCGGTTTGTCCCGACAGACCATGACTGTCCGCCAGCGATGCAAAAAAAGTGAATGCGCGGGTCACCTATTTGGTGGTTTCTTTGTTGAAGCCTTCAATTGCTTCTTTTCTTTGCGGCTGCCTGAGAAATGTCCATCCTCAAAGTACAAAGCGGCGCTTTGTACTCGGGTTGTTGTAATATTCGCGGAATTCTGGCGCCCGGATCGTGGATTGCGGAGCTCCTCCTCCGCGGCCCGTAGCCGCGGTTCACGGTGGTTGATAGAGAGGTTGCGTGTTCGCCGCTGAGCGAGCGAGCGAGCAGACGGGCCGAATGGAGTCGAGCGGTCACAAAGATGGCTTTTGTGCGAAATATTAGCTCTCCACGCCACTTGCTGACTTTTTTTTTCTCTATCCTACTTTTAACTTCGCGAGGGAAAACAGTGATGCTGTGGGCGGACGTATGCAGAGGCTCCATTTACAAAGAGAGTTACGGATTTTATCTCGCGCTCTGTAATCGCTCTCTCCTGATTGAATTGACGGCATTGGCGGCCTAAAGATGGCACGGCTGCAGAGGTGACACCGGAAAATCAATATTGCTGCGGTTGTTCCCTGTGAGAAAAATGTAAAACTCGAGCGGAGAAAGGGGGAGAAAAGATGCGCATCGTTTTAAGATTTACAGTGGCCCCGTGATATAAATTGTCACTTGGTTAGAAGGGTTATGTATTCATGGGTGTAATTACAACATTTATATACATACGTGCCACATTTTAGTCGGGTAGTATTCCACTTCTTGTGATTCATTGTATTCAAGCACACTTTGTATTCATTCATTCATGTCTATTATACGCGGTATATTTGTACATTTTGGCTTTGATATTATTTGTGCTTGGTATTTTAGCACTTAAATATGTTCAGTGCTGTGGTTGTGAAAATATGTGGTGTAAGATTATGGCTTTGTTGTCATGCCCTTGTTGTGCATAATTAATTTTAAATAACTTGCTCATTATGTAGTTAAACTCGCTGTTTTTTCCTGCACATTACAAGCGTATGGAATGACTCATTCTGTTAATAGGTCTGAGCTGAGCCAGTGGTGGAAATTCCATATTCCCATAACAGGGGTATGTCTTATCCATAGGACAACCAATGTTGACTTTCACAAAGTATTACTCGTTTTACCAGCCTTCGGAATTGACTCTTCACCGGGATTTGAGAACCCATGACTTACCGATTGTGAACCACGGCGCTCTTAACCACCAAGCCACCCAGCCAGCCAGATTCATTCCACAATACTGAATTAAATAGACCATGTAATTTAGCCATGTTCACAATCGACTTTATACAAATAATAATAACAATAATTACGGACTTAATAAAATGATAATCTGGTAATGGGTGAAAGCCTTCCCTTACGTCGTGTCGATCGTGGTGGATGTTAGAACATACTTCACCGTGCTTGTCGGCGTGGGTTTGTGAAAGGGGCAACCTAGGAGGACCGGATTGGATAGCGCTCCGTTGCTGATGTCAACTGTGGCCTGGAATCCAACTCGTAGGGAATTGCGCCGGACAGAGATGTTGCAATTCACAGCGATTTGTTCCAACCACTGCGCCACCACTGCGTTAGATATACGCCACTTGACGCGCAAATCGTGTGTACGCTATGCGCCAGATTCGCTCCTCGGCAAAATGGACAAAACACAATGCCTTGGTAATTTGCCTGTCTCTTGGCAGCTGCCCCTGTCTGTAGTTGTCTCCCCTGGCTGCCTGTATTACAGTCTTCTCTCGAAGTCCAGGCTAACGACCCTCCTCTTTTTTCCCCTGCATGTTTATTGACTGAATCTTAATGCCTCTGTTCTTACATTACAGTGCCATCACCCCGTTTCCCGCTCACCCGCAACCGTTAAATGAGACCACATCACCTCGATGTTCCAATCCCTTTGCTGACTCCCAATCCAATCTCAGATCAATTTTAAGATCGCACTCGCCCCTCTTCAAGATCCTCCACGGACTTGCCCCTGCCTACCTCTCACCCTCTCATCTCACTCTACTCCCTTCCACACACTCTCCCACCTCTCTCTCTACTCCCCCCCCCCCACGCACTCTCCAACCTCTCCCCTCTCATCTCTCTTGCCTCCCCTCCACACACTCTTCCACCTCTCATCTCTCTCGTCTCTCCCCCACGCTCTCTCCCACCTCTCATCTCTCTCGTCTCTCCCCCACGCACTGTTACCACCTCTCATCTCTCTCTACCCCCCTCCGCACACTCTCCCACCTCTCATCTCTCTCTACTCCCCTCACGCACTCTCCCACCTCTCCTCTCTCATCTCTCTCTTTACTCCCCTCCACACACTCTTCCATCTCTCATCTCTCTCGTCTCTCCCCCACGCACTCTACCACCTCTCCCCTGTCATCTCTCTCTACTCCCCTCCACACACTCTCCCACCTCTCATCTCATCTCTACTCCCCTCCACGCACTCTCCGCTCCAGCAACCGAGGCTTTCCATGAGAGCCCCCAGTCGACCTGCGCTCGGCGGGGAGACGCCACTCATTCTCCTCGGCTGCTCCCATAGAATGGCTCAAGAATGGCTCAACACTCTCCTTGTCACCTTCACCGTTGGCTGACTGCCTCTCTCCACAAAATAAATATTCCCACAGTTTTTTTGTACAGTGTGTTGAAAAAGCGGGGGCCCACAATTTAGATTCCGTGTTATCCCCCCGTACTGTGTTCCATTGCGGCCTCTCTCCATCCCTCCCCTTCCCTCCAAAAAAAGAGCACAATTAAAATTCCTACTCTCTTCTTGGGCCTTGATGCTGTCACAGCTTCATGATGTGTTGCGTCAAAAAAAGACGTTGTGTCATAATTTAACTACGCGATGGAATTGTCGCAAAATCTTTTGCTCAAATCGTCCGAATAAGGGGAAAGCGGCCAATGCGTGCGGCAGTACTGCTTCTGTGCGTGCCGACTGTGGGCAGTGACTTGTGCCAGCCAGGTAGCTCCCTCACCCCCTTCGTTGGCGGTTCGAATCAGGCAGGCTGCCCTGGTTATTTCTGCGGGGGTATTCACCGTAAGATGTGTACTCCGTCTACTCCCCAGTGCGACGTTTAATGATCCCCATGCGCCATTCGGAATGAGTAGGCCATCGCGTGCCGGCTTGTTGGTTCCGAGCTTGGCCAATTTGAAAAAAAAAAATTGCTCGTTTGGGATTACACAGAACAATCATTGCCCCCCACCCCCGTTCTGGCAGACATTCCCATTTGCAGGCCGGATGCCAAATCGCCATGTGCCGTACAAGGACAGCTGCCACTGGGCATGAGGCGGGAGGGGAGGGGCATGTGGGGGTGTTGGTTGTGGAGGGGTATGGGGGGGTGTCGGGGTGGTGTCCTTACGAATGCTTGAGACGGGATGCGATGCAAGGGGCCATGTAAAGCGCTCTTGCGAGGCCCCCCCCCCCGGCATACAGGCGGGGTCGCTGTCGTCAACGGATCGTTGCAACAATTCCTCGTTTAATGCGGTGGTATTTCGATGCGTTCACCGCAAAGTGCCGCGTTCAGCAAAAAATGCGTCGAATGTAAAACAGTTTCCCCCGCAAAATGAAATTATGGGACGGTAAAGTTTGTCGAGATGCGACGTACCGTGGCACACACGCGGTGAGATGGTGGGACGAATTACCCGAGGGTAACGCCGCCACGTTACTGAGTCATTCTGCTTACCGTACCATTCCGCTCGGCCGTGCAGCTCAAGAAAGTAGTTTGTCGTTGACCGCTCAGAAACTGTCATACAACGGGCACTTTTCCGCATTATACCGTACCTATGTATGCTTAACTTCTTTTGCACCGTATGTAGCCAACCGTGCTAATTGCAAGTGCGAGGGAAGGATGAAAAACTAAACACAGATGCAGTCCTAAAAAAATATTTTTGAATTTAACTTTGTAGGCGTTATATCGGTGCGCGGTCCCCGTTCCCTCGTTGGATGAACCTCGTTAAAATGGAAAACGCGTCATACGAAGGCAACGCGCTAAGCGAGGACTTGCCGCACTGTTATTATTACCGTACTGTTATTATTACCGTACGTGACCATCGCACGTTGCGTCGGTCACGCCACAGCGACGACATTAACGCTTGCGACGCCCCCCCCCCCCCCCCCATCGCGGCTGCGCAGCCGGCCACGTTCAAGACGCACGCGATCGTGGAGCGCACCGCGGGCTTCGTGTGCAAGCAGGGCACGCAGTTCGAGATCATGCTGAAGACGAAGCAGGCGCGCAACTCCCAGTTCGACTTCCTGCGCTTCGACCACTACCTCAACCCCTACTACAAGCACATCCTGAAGCGCATGAAGGACGGGAAGTACACGCACATCCCCGATCCCAAGCAGCAGCAGCAGCAGCACAAGGCGAAGGGTGAGCGGCCGGGGACGTCGCTTCGCGTTGGTGGGCGGGCGGGCGTGGACGGGCGGGCAGGCGTGTTTTGACTGCGGCGGGTCATCGTGTGGCACGTTTGGTCTTCGCGTCGTCGTTCGTTACGGGTGTGCAAGGCTTATCGCGATTACGCTCCATGCAGCGCAGGCAATAGCGGTAGTTTCACAGCAGGGAGCGGTGTTGCGATGTGGTTTTGCCCATTTATAGGGAGCTTGTGAGTAATTGCCTTAACTTCCATGATAGAGGTTTTTTTGGGTTAGATCGGGTAAATATATAAATGTGTCGTTAAACCCGCCACCACCCGACACAGCCAACTAGTAAGGGTTGTCACGTAAACAGAACGTGGCCAATTCGTCACCAGTACAGCACACCGGTGTGTTGGAGAGCCAAGCCGCAGCATTTGCTTGCACCGTAACGCCGGCACACACGTGGCCTACTTCACAGAAGCCTCGTTTTTTCAATTAACCAAAAAACAAAAAAATTGCTATTTCTGGCAAAATCCGAATTTTTGGGATTTGGGCCCGACCTTCATATTTCAGGATTATTCGGGAATAATCCGAAAAATGGGGTAAACACATCCCCAATACATGCGTGTATCAATCGCAGCCGTCATTCATCCGGGCTGTACGGTCTCGTTGGACGCTCCAACTCGGCGCGCGGCGCAACGAATACGCTGCTCGATCTGCGCCGAGCGCAGGCGACAATTTCTCTCGATTACACGGGGGGGGAAGTGTGACAGCCGGGGGTGGGTGGGCTGGAATGACCTGGATTAAACAGGTCCAGGGACCGCAGCACACAGTGTCTCATTTGCAAGAGTGACCTAGGTCACCACAATGACAAGAAGCAGGGGGTGATTCAAACCACGTCAATTGGGATGTGGAGCGCATTGTTTTGCAGCAGTGGGGGTGTGAAGGCGCGTAAGATCGTGTCGCCTGTTTACGGGCGTCTCTTTCAAGTGATTGGTTTTCTTGCCGACTCTTGAGGTCACGTTGGTACACGAGTCGCCTTTCTCGACACTCATAAAATAATGTTTTGAGCTTGCTGGCTGCCCGATGGTCTATGTGGTTCTTATTTTTGTCGCACAGTGGAATTCCACCCACCCCGCCCCCGCACTTATTTTTTTTTTGCTTTTTATTGTCAATGTCCCTGCTTCTGATTCGTGTGTCATAGCGGGGTGATACGCACACTGACGAAACGCGTTTCTTCTCCCGGACACGTTCGTTTTACAACCATTTGTATTTAAACTAAACTTCTTTTCGGAGATAGAAAAAAACAACTAAAACTGAAAAATATTGAAAGTGAGTAATGAGAAATTTTCACATCGAGCTCGCTCACTTGACAACGTCGCCCCCCCCCCCCGCCCCCCCCCCCCCCGCCCCCCCCCCCCCCCCGCTTTGCGGGAATGTTTTTCTCCCGCCAGCGTCCAGAATGAACTCCGCGGACGAGGAGGAGGAGGACGATGATGACGATAACGAGGGCGGGTACCTCCACCCGAGCTTGTTCGCCTCCAAGGCGCAGTCCAACAGCCGCCTCGAGGAGCTCGTCAAGGTGAGCGGTGCCGCGGCCCGTCGAGCCGCCAGCGCCAGCGTCCGATTGGACGCGGACGTCGCCCAATCAAAACAAATGGCTCTCGCGTTGTTCGCCGTGTACCAACGCCCGGCGTTCCGATACGAGTTTGAAGCTTTGTTCACGATGACAAGCTCATAAGCATGGAACGATTCTACCCCCAAAGACAAAGATCCCCCTTATAGCCTCATCAGACTGTTGGGGAAACTGCTCTTAGCGAGCACCTATGAAGGCCTCTTTGGTACGGCCAGAACCACACCCAACCGCCTTTGCCTCCCCAGTGGCGATGTTTACTCATCGTGCCAGGTACTCATTTGAGGTTGAGCCGACCTAGGGAAAGCCCAGGACTGGTTCAGATAATCGTCACTAGTGTTGGACGTGAGCGGAAATTGAGTTCGGGTCGCGGGGTTTATAGCGCAGCGCGCTAACCACACACCACTTCCACCACCACACCCTCTACTTGCCGAATTCCCACAGCAATTCTCTCTCCCCCTCCCCGCCCTCCCAGTTTAATCCCATTGTGCTCTCGGTGTCGTGGCACCAGACGTACAATCCACTTATGTCCCATGCCTACAATGGCAGTTTTGTAGAGCGGGATCGAACTTGGGTTCATGACGCCTGCATATTTGGAGTTTGCGTGTGTCTCTCTCTCTCTCTCCCCGTGGTGCGTGGATTTTTCTCCGGATACTCCGGTTTTTCTCTCCGCGTTTATAATTTGACGTGTGTTTTAGAGTATTTGCCTGCCATAAATTTCCACTCGATCACATGCCACTTTGTTGAGCGATCATTTGTGATGGCCAGGTCGCTTCTGAAAAAGCTATACAGCTCAGTGGGCCTTACTTGGTAAATAGTTTAAATAGTAAAAAAAAATACATGAGAGCTGCCACCATTAAGATCTCTTCAAGTGCCCCCCCTCTTAGCACACTCGGGGGCAGCACTTTCACATCCACCCTGCCGCTGGGGGCAATGTCCTTCGTGCGACGGCCGAACCGATGTTTTACGTTTCATCGAGCCGTAACTTAGCCCACTGAAAGCGGAGACCCACATTTAACGCCATGGTGGCTTTTTTGTGCAATTGTTGGCGACCGGGCTGAAACCGCCAACCCGCTGCGCTTGAGAACCCGAGTTTGCCCCCCATAGGCAACTGCCCCCGAATTCAAACCCAGGTGTTTGGCGGCGCCAGCTTCTGGCGTGCTCTGACCGTCGGCGCCACCCGGCCACCTCTCTGAGTCGATCACAAATGCACGGGAGTGACGACGCACGTTACACCGATGTTACTGGTGCAATAGCGACGCGGTGGCTAACTTCCACGTTTCTTTTCTCGTCAACGAAACTTCGCACTTGGGCGTTGGACTGCTGGGAACGCACGGGCCGGGTAGATGTGTGCGGGAAGAGAGAGGATTATCTTTTTTGGCTTCCCTCTTCCTTGAAGCTCGCTTCCCCCCCTCGCGCTGCTTCGTTCGGGGAAGGGAAAGAAAGAGAAAAAAAATGAAGTGAAACGTGCGGGGAATTGGTTGTTTTGTTCTTCCCTTTAGCTCGTTAGATCTCAATTGCCCGCGCACAGCCTAACTGCGTGCGTAGACTTGACTTAATGAGGGGCAAAGGGAGCGCCGTCTTGGAATAAATCGAGTGCGCCTGTTCATCGCGCGGCCAACTTTGCGACGTCTCTAGACTCAATTGTGTTTGGACACTTTGCAAATTGAAATTGTAATTGTGTTCCGCGCTCTTAATGTGCGATACAGCGCGAGCAACCGACAGCGATTGCTTCGTTGTACAGTGCTACGTGGCCGCACGCGGCTCGCCTGACAAAATGCATCTCAACACTTACCTCGGCCTCCGTGTTTAGGCTATTGATTTGAACAAGTGTTGACACAGCAGATTTGGAGCGGCTAATGTTTGCATTATTAAAGCCTGGTTAGCAAATTACCGCGTTCAGCTTTTTTTTTTACAGGGGTTCCACCTTCACGATTGCCATTGCGCCAAAAAAGACCGTTCTAATGATCTGAAAATTACCATTTTTATTTCCCATTCTATGCTCGCTGACGGGCAGAACCATTAAGCATCCCGTGGCACCGGTCGAGCGTTATCGGGCCAGCCAAAGCCACGCTGGGCGCCCACCCACCTTCTCCGCTTGCACGTTTCTTAATTTGTCAGGGACAGCTTTGGCCAAACTGACACACTCTCCGCGCGATTCTTAATTACATTTTTTATTTACAAATGCGTTTCAGCCGTCGGCCGGTGCAATCCAGTTCTGTGCACATATATATGTATGTTTATGAAAAAAACTTTTTTATGTATGTTGAACTGGTCCTGTTCCCTCCTCCTTCGCAAAACCAGCACTCACCACCATTGTGAAGTATGGGTATTGGAAGGCCTTCATTCAGCAGCAGTGGATTGACGAAGGGCAGCAAATGTGAAGAAATGTCTTTAAATTATTCCGAAAATGCTCAGCGACTTTGAAGACTGCTGCAGAACTGTTCTACGTGAGGGTGATTTGTCAACCTATGCCTTTCTGATGATGATGACGACGACGACGATGATGATGATGGGCAGCTGCTGTTGCATGGCCTAACGCGCGCGTGTGTGAACTGGTCGGCCTGCCGTCGACGCGCAGCCCCTGACGACGGTGGATCCCAACCACCCGCTCATGGCCATGGCGCTGCGAGCACGCATGAACGCCGCCGAACCTGCGGACGCCCTGGCGCAGCCCGACAAGAAAGTCAAAGCTCCCCCGGCAGTGAGAAGAACTGTCCTCTCTTTGCCCGACACCCGTGAACCCACTCTCGCTGTGCAGTGGACCTCTTTTCTTTGCGCTCTCTCTCTCTCTCTTTCTGTCCAGTGATCTTCTCTCCCTTTCTCCCATTTCCATGATGAGAATTATCTCTTAAAGTTAAATACTCTTCGATGCACTTTGCTCTTTGCAAAGAGGGGAACATTCATAACCTCAGAGGTTTCACGTGGCATTTTCCTGCGCGGTTAGAAAATAAGCGCGTATATCGTCTCATGGATTATAATTCACTCCTTAAGGCTCACGATTGATGCATTTTACAAGGTGTATACATGTGCAACCCCTTATCCTTCTACTGCTGGAACGGGGCCCTGTCCCCAAGCCATGCAGGCCGTGGGGCTTATTTGGACGAACCATACTTCACCACGCTGGTCAATGCAGGTTGGCGGAGGTGCGGGGAGCATGGATATGGAGACATAAAAGTATAGTACAGCAACAGATTTTTTATTTTTTCCCGTACTGCAACTCGACTGTCCATGATCTGGCGGGGCTGTCAGTTACTGCATTCCACACAACGTAAGAGTCGATTTCTCTCCGTTCACACAGCTGCAGATTATTCATGATCCACAAAGGGTTAAAACGTAACGGAATCGTTTCCGCCTTTCCCCGCTCCCCCACACACGAATCGAGACGAGCCATCGGATCGTGGAGTTGGGCGAACGGATCATTGGTTAACCCCTCGGGGGCGACTGTCACTCGATCAACACCCAGGAACCGACAACCCCTCCCCCGCTCGGCGTCGAGCCTCCAGTCCCAGCTGGTGCGCCTAGCGACACGGGCTCCACCACGTTCGACGCGGATGAGGAGCGGACAGCGGAACATGCACAGGAGCAGGAGGAGGAGGAGGAGGAGGCGCCGCCCACCAAAGCGTCCGCTGCAGGTGAGGCTCTCTCACCTGGTCGAGTGTTGACCCCCCCCCATACTGCCTTGTGACTGGCAACCCTTGACCTATGAAATGTGACCACGATGGCACTAGCAACAAGGCATCTGAGGATCCATCCTGTCCACCCCCGTGCCCGCCCACCTCTAGCTACGTCGCCTTGTATGCAGGAGGTCGTGGGTTCGATCCCGACCCTGACGCCTGTAATATTTGGAGTTTACATGTTCTCCCTGTGGTCGCGTGGATTTTTCTCCAGGTCCTCCGATTTTTCCCTGCTATAAAGTACCACATATTGATAAGCCACTTCATTGAGCTCTCTTTTGTGGCCAGGTCTCTTCTGAAAAAGAGCTATATAGCTCAGTGGGCCTTACCCGGTAAAATGAAAAATTTCGTTTTAATTTTTGAGTCGATTAAGTGCCGTGATTTAGCAATTTATTACATCGCAGGATCGGGAGATCGTCTTGCGGGGGGGGGGGGGGGGGGGGGGGGGGGGGGGGGGGGGGGGGGGGGGGGAGGTCTTTAATCCAGCAGTGGATCGACCAGGGCTGATGATAATGGTGTTTTGGGAGTTGCGATTCGACGATCGAGATTAGTTCCGGCGAACGCTTGGCGAACGAAGGTGGTGAACACATTAAAACGGCGGCACGGGCCGGTGCTCGACGCGTCCCGCCGCTGCACATTCAGACCGTTGTCGTTTCGTGCACCGTTTCACATTCCGCACGTTAACCTTCCGGAACCGCGGATTGCGCAACCGAGCGACCGATATGGAATTGGCCAGCGTTGTGGTCCATCGATGGTCTGGCTGTGAAGAAAACCTCGCTCTTAAAGGACATACCTGTCTTGCGTTGCGCAGATACGCGCCGCCAAACAGACACTATTTTTTGATACGCCATATTTTGTAAGTTTTGCCGTGTGCAAGCAGTTTATAAGCCTCTTTGGAATCTGAGTGATAGTTGTGTTGTTACGTTGGCGTGTGTTTTGCCTTATCACTGTTGCCCAGTGGGTTTCTTTGAGTTTGGCAAATTTTGTTATATCTTGGCGCTGCTGGAAGTTCGACATTCCCCAAAATCATAATGTTTCGCGCGTCTGAAATGTCTGTCCAGTGGCTTACAATGTATTTCTGTCAAATATTTCGGGGAGTTGGGGCAGGTTTTAACGATGTCATTTATTTTCATGAAATATTATTGACCTGCTTGAACCCGTTGGCTGCGGGGTTACGCCACAGTTTCAAATTTCATTAATAAGAAAATGACTAATTATCTTCCTAGCCGATATAATTTATAAGCAGTATATCGTGCCTACTGGTGTGCATCTGTTGAAGATGTTCTTTTAATCAGAGAACATTAAGCATTTTTCGTCCCACTTGATGAACACCGCCATTTACATTATTTGTTAATTCGAACTGGTAATGTGTGTGGGGAGATGTTACTCCTGCGCCTGGTATGTGGGAGTTCGTGGGTTCGATCCCAACCCTGATGCCTGATGCTGTATATTTGGGGTTTAGCATGCTCTTTCACCCCGTGGTTGCGTGGATTTTTCTCCACGTCCCTCCATTTTTTCCCCTCCACATTTAGAATCAATATGCATTGAGAGTATTTTGGCCTGCTATATATTTTCACGTGGTAATGATGAGCCACTTCATTGAGCTGTCATTTGTGGCCAGGTCACTTCTGAAAAAGAGCTGTATAGCTTAGTGGGCCTTACCTAGTAAAATAAATATAGTTAAGATATTTTTTCCAAAAGTATTTTATCGAACAAATGCTTCAGGTACACACAGAGGGCATGTAGGGGAATTGACACCAGAATAAACACAATCCGAAGTACAAAGACTTCTCCACAAATTTGGCTGTCGCCTGATGAAGCCAGTTGTAATTTATAGTGATACGTCGTACTCAGATTGTAAATGTTGTGGCTTGACTCTCCAACACACCGTTGTGCTGTACTTATGAAGAATTGGCCACGTTCTATTTATCTGACAACCCTTACTAGTTAGCTGTGTCGGGTGGTGGCCGGTTTGAACGAAACATTTATATATTTACGCGATCTAACCCAAAAAAACCTCTTATGGAGTTTAGTTTGAGCCGTCTTTTCCAAAGACACTTACTGCTGGTTAGTGTCATAATGAGACTCCATATAAAAATGTTTACATTCGTTCTGAAAAAATACATGCCACGCAACTGGTATTAGCAAAAAAAGTAGAGGCACTCCTTGACATACGCGATAGATGCGTTCCTGGAAATGCTCGCGTATCTCAAAATCGCGTATGTCGAAAGCAATTTTCCCATAAGAAATAATGTTAAAGGAGGGGGTTTTGAGGATTTCACTCGCACTCGCAGACTTAATTACCTATATTATCCTAGCCTATTACAATACATATAATACTTTAAATTTAAGAGAAAATCATATAAACTCAAATATACGTCATATAAAAAAATCTCAATAAAGAAATACATTATTGCTTATTTGTGTAATGCCGGTACATCCCGTCATTCGGATAATCAGGGGAACGAGCTTGCTGCGGAGGTGGACCACAAAGAGGGCGTAGTCAGAGGGCAGGGGGGAGACCCCGCTAGGTGGATAAAAGGGCAGCGTGCTACAGTAAAGGGGGTCGTCATTGTGGGTAACACTCGTTTTGTCAGGCCACGTCATCGGGTTGGGATCTTCAATCGCCTCGTGTGTAAGGGGGTTTAAAAGTGTTACACAGTGTTACATAGGGGTAGTTAAGTTACACCAATGATAGAACCTGTCCCATAAGGGAAGTGTTAAATAAAGACTCGCCTCAACTCACGTAGTGTCTTTATTGAAGCACTACACTTGTAACTACGCCGGAATTGCGTTGTGGAGACAAAGGGAAGAGCAATGGTTTTCACGCGATGCTGTACGGTGTAGCTCACTGGCTATCGTACCGCACCGGCCGCAGGCAACGCCATTGGGTCGCGGTACCAGGCTCGGGGTGGCCGCGTACGTCGCGGGATGACGTCATTCCGACAATCGCCTCGCGCACGTCAATAAGAATGTCTAAATACAAAGCGCGCTGCGTTATTCCAAAATGCCTTACCGCAAAAGGGCGTAAACCGAGGATTGCCTGTAGCTGCAAACTACTCCAATTGCGATTCCACACTACTACAATTGCGATTCCAGACTACTCCAATTGCGATTCCAAATGTAGCAACATCGTCCCACCGCCGCCCACTCCCCCGCCTGTGACAGCAACTTGCCAGGACCCTCCTGAAATTCGGTGAAGCTTTGCTGTTGGGTTAACAAGCGGAACAATACTCATAAAAAATGTAATAAGAGTCTTGCAACCTTATTGGGCTTTCGCTCTCATGTTATCAACGCAGCGTTTGTTTGGTTAAACAAACACGGACCGTTTCGACCTCTTGGGTCTCATCGGCACCTTATTCGACTGATCCTGCCGGGTTGGCCAAGTCGTTGAGCCTGTTTGGTCCGCCACTACTTTTGTCCGTTGAGCTTGTGGCACTTAACACGTTAAAAAAGAAATTGGCATGTCAGCTATTCCAACTATTACTTTGCCCTGGCCAGTTTTGTCAGTTGCTCTTTCCAGGAGTAATACCCACAGTTATTTTCCCAACCACATTTCACCCCGCTCGTGGTTGCGCACCTTGAAAACGTTGATTTTTTTTGACGGTTGGTTGATAATGTTTCAACTACAGTTTTACTTCCAGATATATTTCGGCCTTTCTGAGAGTCTCACCTGCCATTGTCGTTGATAATAAATTCGCTGTTGCCTTCAATTTACGCTAGTTGTACGTTCAACCACAGTTAACGTTTGAAAGTTCAAATCCTAGTCAGGGGGTGGGGGGGGGTGTTGAACTTGTTCTGCATTGTACGTAGCCAACCGTGCTAATCGGAGGTGCGGGGGGAGGCAAACTAAACACAAAAAACAGTTCTCAAGAAATTAGTTTTCAATCTGTATTATTTAAAAGTGCATAGCTCCAGTGGCTTCCTAATGTAAGGAAGAGCGTTCCAGACGACCGCAGAATCGCATCTGAAAGCGCGCGATGCAGTGACCGTCTTTGTTCGATGGCGAGCCAAAAGCCTCTGCTGCGAGGATTACCCGAGTTCACACGATGGTTAGTTTGACTTGGCCCATCATCCCTGCCGGCTTGACAAGTGGTTATCCTCGACGTTGACTCGCCGCCGTCATAGAAACATAATTTTTCACCACTGGCTCAGGGCTGTAAACGGGGGAAGAGCAACCGCTTCGATGCTCGTTTGAGCCCGGGCATCGTCGTGGCTGGACTTTAAGCATCCGCTTAAACGCATTTCGCATTCAACGCAAGGGCCCTGTACGACGCACCTATCACGTGCCTGCGCCACTTCAACCCAACTTGCTCGATTGGTTTGTGGGGGAAGAGAGCCGTTGTTCGTCAAGTGGTTGCCTTCTCATCGTTTTGGGGGGGTGGGTGCCGGGGGATATTGCGGATGGCTCTTGAGTGGCATCGGGGTAATTTTAAAGCTTCGTAATTTCGCCGAGTGTACAAGGAGGAGGCTTTTAATGAAATAAAAAATGTGCTTTGACATCCCTCCTGCGTCCCACTTGATATCCAACGTAAAAATATCTAATAAAAATGTTTCTTTTTGCTCATTAATATTTTATTAGCGATTTTTTTTTGTTGCTTGAGAAACTTAATGGCGTTTGCGGATTGTTATCTTAAAAACGTAGGACTCGGCGCTAATGTTTGTGGGAAGCATTTGCCGAAACAAGGCGACATCGGGACCGCATTGACAGTGGCATCAGTGTAATGAGCCGCTCCGCCATTGATGAGGCTCAGTGAAGTTGAAAACGGTACAAGGTTGTTGTGTGAATCTGAACCATCTTTCATCGTCACGAGCCGTGAGGCTACCCATTGCTGGATGAGGCTTCCCCCCCCTCCCTCCCGTGCCGTCGGCGTGCCGTTTTGTGGCGCCTTTATTTGGTCACGACCACGTCTCGCGATGCACGGTACTTAATAAAATATGAAGAGGCAACGAGGTGGTGGGGAAACATGGGATAGAGGACTCAACGATAACCCAGCAGGGGGTGCGAGAACCACTCACGGAGAAGGAGGCGTTGGGGGTCCAAAATGAGAAGACTCGCACCGCGGATGACTCAGTTTGGTTTATTACACGGTAAGTCCTCGCTTAACAGAATCAGAATCTTTATTTATCCTGGAGAATTCCGATCAGCTATGAAGTTATTTTTTCACAGATGTCCGGTCGGGGGCGGGCCAGACAGTTACAACAGCAAAACAATACAACAACAAAAAAAATAAACAAACAATACAAAAGTCCACAAACAATACGAGAAGAAAAAAACCTTTTCACATGAACGCGCTTTCACTGGAACGCGGTTTCTGAGCGGTCGGACGACAACTAACTACTTTTTTGAGCTGTGTGTCCGAGCGGCGCAGCGATACGGTACGCGGAATGAAACGGTACGTGGCGGCGGTTTAACCTCATCTCAGTTCCTGCCATGGGACGTCCGTTACAGTGCAAATGTGATTGAGTAAAACGGCAATTCCTCGCTTAACGCAACTACTGCTACTTGCGTGAAACATGGAAATACTGTTCACAGCATCCATAATACAGGTTTTTTTTGCGTTAGATCGCGTAAATATAAATGTGTCGTTAAACCCTCCACCACCCGACACAGCCAATTAGTAAGGTTTGTCACGTAAACAGAACGTGCCATTTCATTACTCGTACAGCACACCGGTGTGTTGGAGAGCACACCCACAACATTTACAATCTTGAGGATGATGTTTCACCAGTAATTACAACCGGCATCATCAGGTGGCAGCCAGATTTGTGTTGGCATGTTCTGTTTGTGACAAATCTTACTAATTGGCTGTGTCGGGTGGTGGCGTGTATAACGACACATTTATATATTTACGCGATTTAACCCAAAAACCCTGGATTATGGATGATATTGGTCGCGAAAGCCTACGACGTGTTAAACTGTTTACAGCAATCGTCTACCCCTTTTTCAGGTGAACTAATGCCCTCAGGTCGATCTTACAACTCACATTAATCCTGGTTTCACCTGGTTAAACAAAACAAATGTCATTTGAAGCTTGACTTTTCCCCCGACGGAGGTTGTGTTGACAGTAGGTCAACTCACAATTTATCCGGGGCAATGGTGGAGAGGTATAGCCGGGCTGTAAAACTAAAACACGAATCTTGTACGAAACAATATGCAACGTTAGGATATGCCGGCATGTTGATGTCATTTACCCACGCAGAATGCGTCGCCTGTTTTAGTATTGAATGATAAAATTAATCGGTCACCGAGTGACGAGTGAGGGTGCGATTAATAATAGAACCGGCGCACGGATGAGCGGGAAATATTCCGTACCGTGATTTTTCCCCCTCCGTTTTTTTTCACTCACACGGTTAATCCGCAACCCGGGTACTCGGCACGCGGATAATTATTATTACAAGTCAGTCGACAATTCTGGACACTTTCGCAAACGAGATATTCCATCTCAAACGATTTATCTAGAGAAAGATTCCAATAAATGTGTTAGTAAATGTGAATGCACCTCTTCATTATGCGTGTGTGTGCATGTATTGTGGTCGCACACACACACATGTAATGTAGGGAGCGGTAGTGTAGCAGTTATTGCGTTGCGCTACAAACCCGGCGAACCTAGTTCGATTCCCGGTTATGGACACCACCACCAGCGACGATTATCTGAACCGGTTCTGGGTGTCCCCACAGTGGACTCGGTCACAAATTAGTATTTTGTGCGGTGTGTAAACATCACCACTCGGGAGACAAAGGCGTCCGGGCATGGTGCTAGCCAACCACCCCCTCGTGCGCTGTTCCGGCCTTTATAGGTGCTACTCCCTAACAGCCCTTGCCTCTACAGTTTGTTGAGGCTATACCTGGAAGGAGGGGGGAGGATTGATCTTTGTCTTTGTGTCGTGCGTGCACAGCGGCCGTGGCGATGTACTACGGCTACTACGTGATGCCGGACGGCACGTACATGCAGGGGCCGCCACCGCCGGCACCGGCGGCCGAAAAGATGTCCGAGTACGCGTACGGTGCTCACGCCACCACGCTGCTTGCCCCTCCGCCACCGCCGGGGCTGGCGCCGCCGCCACTGTTGTCGTCGTCATACCTTTCGCTCCCGTCAGACGCAACCCAGGGGGTGGACACGACCACCACCGCCAACAACGCTGACACCGCCGACACTGCCAACACCGCCGACACTGCCAACACCGCCAACACCGCCTCCGCCGCCGGCACGATTGTCGTGACCGCCGCCAGCTCCGTTGGTGCCAGGAACTCGGCGCAACCGATCGTGACCCATACGGCTGACGCCTTGCCCACGAGGTACCCGGGGTCAAACTGGCGACGTGCCGCTTTGCGGCTCTTGTGGCAAGTTTACATTGTTTCTTGTTCTTCATAACGATAAGCGATCGTTATTTATCCAGGAAATCATCGCTGAGCCTCGACCAGCGGTGACGTATCTCGCGCAGATCGATAAATACATTTATTGCGTGGCCTTTCTCCTGGTGGCCTTGCAGCCCAGCCTGGCGGCTTTTGTAAACGATCCGCCATGTCTTTCCCCCCCAACGTTCTTGATCCACAGGCGTTGCGTCTCCACACCCGGCTTCTGGCATGCGCTTTTTCCGGCGCTTCCGAGCTACATCCCTAATTTTAGCGTGGTGCGAGTGAATGTTTGCGTGGGCGCCACGCGAGATGTTAACTACCTTGCCTGGTATACAGGAGGTCGTGGGTTCGATCCCGACCCTGACGACTGGTCGTGTAGATTTTTCTCCGGGTCTTCCGGTTTTTCCCTCCACATTTAGAATCAACATCACGCCAGGCCACTTCTGAAAAAGAGCTATACAGCTCAGTAGCCTTACCTGGTAAAATAAAAATAGTTTGTAGTGTGTCACCCCCTCTCCCATTACCCCCTACCTTGCCTCCCCCCCAGTGCAGGCATCCCAGCGTGATCCCCCTGCTGCCCCAACGTGCAGCCGTCATCGACAAACTCATTGACGAACTAATTTTAGCGTCGTGCGGGTGAATATTGTGTGTCACCCCCGGCCCCCCTCCACCGCCCCCTCTGCAGCCACACGGCGGCGATCCCCAGCGTGATCCCCCCGCCGCCCGATGTGCAGCCCGTCATCGACAAACTGGCGCAGTACGTCGCCAAGAACGGGCTGGAGTTCGAGGACGGAGTCCGCTCCAAGAACGACCCCAGGTATGCGAAACGGTTCTGACCCCTTCGGCCGCTCGTCCGCCGCCAGCCGCCGTGGCGTTAACGATTTTTTTCCCCGCTCGGTGCGGAAGCGCATAACGCAGAGCTACCTCCGAGATCACTTCAATGTGACCTGGTTGACACCGTGAGGGGGAGAGGGGGGCGTGGGGGGGGGACAGCGCTTGTACATCCGTTCTGCCGCTGGGAGAGTAACGTTTGTCTTGTGAGAAGTCGAGCCGATGTTTTTTTGTTTTACTCGCCAAGCCGGACTTTAGCCAAATTAAGTGCACAACCGAATTTGATGCGATGGCAATTTTTGGTGATTGAGTTGAGACCGTCGGTGCGACGGTTTCCTTGCTCAAAGGGGTCAATGGAATGGCTGTGATCTCTGTTTTGGTAGGCCTGAGTCGGTTGTGGAAAGCCACAGTCCCGTGGCAAGGGAAAACAACTCAAACAGTTCAACGAGACTCGCATAAAACAGTTCATGAGACACCCTCCCCCAACACATTCATACGAAAACGTGGAGCACAATGTACCAGATAACGCATTCTTGGTAAGCGCTAGACCAGTAACGGGAGGCTGAATGTTTTGTGTGCACGCGGGGAAGCTGGGCGTCCCAACGAAAACATCCGGCTCAAAAGTGTATTGTTTTTCGTAAAATATTTAGCCGATTTTTATTTTTTCTCGTCGTAATCATGACTGCGCGTTTCTAATAACGTTCGCGATAAAATATTAACGACGGCCTCGGTAGCAGCGGCAAATGGCCGGTCCGTCAACGCATTCTTAATTTAACAAAAAATAAACGGCACGTGGCGTTCGCGCTTCGCGGCACAGCGGGCCCCGGCGACGAGCGGGGAAAAAGAATAACAAAAAAGAATCCGCCTCTTTTAAATTTTGATTTAAAGCTTTCGTGACTGCAGTAATTCATATTCTTAGTTTTTTCGGTAAAGTCACGTTGAAGAGAAACAACAAAATAACAAAATATATATAAAACAATACAAATTCTCACGACGTTTCGACCACAACCCAAACGGTCATCATCAGGTGTGTCGGTTTGCATAAATTTATTTTGAAAATGGCATATTTATTTATATATATATATAAAATAACGTTTGCGTCACGCGCAACGATTGGCAGTTTGCCAGGACTAGTCCATCTATTTTTTGAAAAGAGGAGGGGGGAGACGAAATTTGTTTTTATGTATGCTGTCTGAAAGCCACTGTAAGCGTGAACAATCAATCAAGAACTGAAATGATTTATCAAATCTTTCCAATGATTGCTAAGATAGAATCCATCTTCTCGGTTGAAATTGTCTCTGTGTTTGTATATGTGGATAGCCTCATGAACGAATCTCTCATGGAAGCCAGATGGCGCGTGACGCAAACGTTATTTTTTATATATATAAATAAATAAATATGCCATTTTCAAAATAAATTTAAGCAAACCGACACACCTGATGATGACCGTTTGGGTTGTGGTCGAAACGTCGTGAGAATTTTTATTGTTTTATATATATTTTGTTATTTTGTTGTTTCTCTTCAACGTGACTTTACCGAAAAAACTAAGATTATGAATCCGCCTCTTGTTATGGAAAAAGGGGATAAACCTCCCCCCCTCCCCCCCCCCCCCTTGAATGCGATCGACTAAATGTATCGGGTCTATTCTTAAATCTCGCCGCTGCAAATCCGATTTGAGTGCTCCATGGAGTGCTCCGCGCGCCGCAGATGTGTAAGTGCCGCGGTGGAGAACATGTTTTATTGATGCGCGCGGAAGGCGATGGGAATGGATGGGAGTCGTTGAAAGTGAAGCGAGCGCGCGGCCCGCCTCGTCTTTCGCGCTATTATCGTTGCTTCTTTACACGCGACACGTTGTCCCAACACGTGACTTGTGACGCTCATCATCAACAACAAGCAAGTTGCCTTCATTCACGTGTGCAACGCGTTCTAGTTAACGCTCGGGTAAGGGCTTCATCACGCCGCGCGAGTGCTCGTGGGGGTTATTCGACCAGACTGTGCCACGTTGGCCTTTGCGGGGTTGGTCGAAGGCAGGTCGCATAGAAGTACGGTGCATATTTTCTGCAGGGGAGCCTGTTGCGTAGCCGCACATCCCCAGGGGCTGCCCGTGTTGTGAATTTCGGCAGGGCCGGCGTCAAGAGGGCTGTTGGGGTGGGCGCACTGCACCACCAAATGCCCATTCGGCACCCCACCCAAGTTCACGCTTATCGCCTTCGTGGTGAATCACTGTTACAGTGCCCCCCCCCCCACCACAAACAGTGGTGATGAGATGTTAACTACCTCGCGTTGTATACAAGAGGTTGGGGGTTCTTCGTCCCATATCTCTCTCCCCGTGGTCGCATGGATTTTTCTCCGGGTCCTCTGGTTTTTCCATCCACATTTAGAAACATGCTATTAAAGTATTTGGCCGAAATCAAATTCCACATCGTAAGCCACTTTGTTGAGCTATCATTTGTGGGCAGGTCACGTCTAAAAAAGAGCTAGACAGCTCAGTGGGCCTTACCCTGTAAAATACAATATACTCTTTGGTTTTATTCGGTAAAGTCACGTAGGTAAAACAAAATAAAATAAGCAATTAAAACACGACGTTTCGGAGGCAACGCAAGCTTCCGTCTTCAGGTGGGACCAGTCACAGCCAAAATCGCTACACCAAGTGGCAAGGCTCTGGGAACCTAGCGCTTAAATATAGGTTAAGGTAGGGGGGGGGGGGTGTGGGAGGGGCCATGTAGGGGACTTTCGTCCGGTTGGGGGCAAAGGGCCAAGGGTTCTGTGAATCCGGCCCAGCGTAGAGCGAGACTGAATGTCGTAATGTTGGGGGAAGGAGGGTATCTCTCAAAATTATAATAACCTTCCGTTGTCTGAAACCGTCCCCTCTGCATTAACGTGGCATCTAATGACGTTAAATGCCGTTTATTGGCAGCGGAGCCGATAGTTTTAAGTGCTTGCTGATTCCCCTGTAAGCTGCGTGTAAATCAGGATACCTGGCAGCTTGCCTGTGTCACGGACTGATGAGAGTCAGAGATGTCTTAAGCAGTCAGGAGTTTTACCACTTGCTCCGAATGCGCTCGGATATTCGAAGGGAATGTATTATCCGCTTTGTGAAATATATTCTCTGCAACTACGCTAGTGATTATGTTGAGCCCTGGTTGTTATTTCGTTCGTTTGATGAATCGCAGCACCTGGTGCATTGCCAATATGAAACTGGTGTGTAGACCAGGGGTAGCATCGTCAACTACACTGCGACAAATGTAGCCTGCAGGTGTCGTCGATCTGCTCGTGACAACTACGCAGCGACACGATATGTAACACAACACAAACGATGTGTAACACAACACCCACCCCCTTGCTCTCGCAATTGTGCCTGCTTCCCCCACTAAAATGATTTTTGTTGTTCCGCCGCCTCTCGTTTTGTGTGCTTGTTCGTGCGCTTCACTGGCAGCAATTGTCAAATGTATTATTTAGACCATTATCTTGGTCTCGAGATGGCTCGGGAGGAAGCCGGCACAAAGCGGCGCAGCGATTCCCGGGAGGCGTCGTCGTTTGGCAGATGCGTGGTGTCTCGCACTCGCCCCCTCCACCGCCCTCCCACCGCCCCCCCCCGACCGCCTTCCCCACAGCCCCCCCGAGCGATGTTTTGGCTGCGCGGGGGCCCTGTGGATTTACTTTCATGTTACGAGCATGTGGCGTTAGTGGCAACGGCGGCGTGTCTCACCGGTGCGATTCTCCCCTCCTGCTGCAGGTTTGACTTCTTGCAGTCCTGGCACTCGTACAACGCATATTACGAGTTCAAGAAGAACTTCTTTGTGGAGAAAGACGGCCTCCCACCTCTCACGGTACGTGCGTTGCGACGAGCGTGGCGTTTTTTTCCCCCCGCTCGCCCGCCGGGCATTTTGCAACAAGGTTCATAAATCTGTTTTGCGGTCCACCGTCAGGCGTCACCACCGCATCAATAGCTTTAGTCATTATATCCAGTCTCATATTCTTAGTTCTTTCGTTTTTAATTGTTTTATTGTTTTATATATATTTTATTATTTTATTGTTTCCCTTCAACGTGACTTTACTGAAAGAACTAAGAATATGAATTACTGCAGTCACGAAAGCTTCAAATCAAAAAATATCCAGTCTCGTCAAAATCATCATCGGCAGTTGTAGTCAATCCCCACTGCCGGATGAAGGCTCTCCTCAGCAGCCGTCGCCATCTTGCACGGCGCCGTGGCATAGTGATCCGTCGGGCACCTCTACACCAGATGTTTTTTTATTCGCTCATTCGCGCCCCCCTTGGAGGTATTCTCGGGTGAGTACCATCCTTTGACTGCCACTCCATCATTAGCCTTGATCACCGGCTATCACCCCGATGTGTCCTGCCCAAATCCATTTAGTTTAAAATAAGCACATGATAAATAAACAAACAAACTTTAGTTCGGCCCAATAGTATTATGGGAAATGCCACTGCACTTTACACAGTAGCTATGTGCACAGCACTGCGTAGGACTTTGTCGTTGTACTTTTCATGTATGTTCAACGTCTTTCACACCATATGCAGCCAACTGTTCTAATCAGAGGTGTGGGGGGGAAGGGCAACAAGCTCTGCGACCGTTGTGCTCTCGGATCGTGCGTTCTTTCGGCCCAATGTCCGACGTTTCGATCCGTGTGCCGATAGCTTCTTCGGTTCGTGAAGCTTCCGGCGCGTGCGAAGAATCTCAGGGCGCGCGGGGTTGAACCCCGAATGGTGCGACGAACTTCACGCGGTACAACCTGAAAAACACACCAACGAGTTGTTGTGCGTAGCCGTCTCCTGGAGTAAGTAAGTAAATTTATGAACGCGCAGCTCTTACAACCTAGGTGATCACGAGTGCGCAGATTATTAACACATTTGTTTGGTGATCCGAATCAGAATAAGATGTTCAAACGCCAAATAGATACCTTTTTCAAGGTATCAAGTTTGCATTGACTGCGTTAACCCCACGTGCTTGTGGTGAAATGCAAATAATGTCTGATAATATATGCCTTTTCTTTGAAACTGATTGACCTACACCAGAGACAGCCTTCTCTATGGCCGAGTCCCACCAGTGTCAAACCAGAGAACAACGCCAAAAGGCAAACGGTACAAATAAAATGCACGTATCAGAACACTTATTGCTCGGGGTGAGCAGCTATATCATGGGACCTTTTTGCCAATATCAAAGTATGAATAATAAGAATAGGTTTTACCCTTTCTGGCAATAAAACTGATGTTAAGATGTTCAAACACCAAATAGAAACCTTTTTCATGGAATCAAGTTACTGCATTAACCACACACGTGGTACTTATGGTGAACATGCAAACAAACTTTGATTGATAATATATGCATGACTAGCTTGACTACCCGGCTTCGCCCGAAACTTGGATTCTTGTCTTGATTAATACACGGCCTACGCGGAGGGTTGGGGGGGGGGGGGTGCGTGACATGAGCAGGCACACTGCGTTACGCTTCTGCATGCGCGGGTGACATGACAGATGTGACGTCATAGCTCACTTGCCGTGCAAAATATATGCATTATTATGCCCCCCCCCCCAAAAAAAATATGCAAAAGTCTATTTTTTTATCATTTGTGCATGGTGTACAGTCTGGAGAGTACCCACATGGCAAATTTCAAGTTTGTTGCATGTCGGGAAGTATGGTAAACATTTTGAACAGACACACATTCACAAATTTCCCTTTTATATATATAGATGTGCATTGTCTTTGAAACCGTGCTAATCGGAGATGCGGGGGAAGGGCAACAAACTCTGCGATTATTGTGCTCTTGGGGCGTGCATTGTTCGGCACGATGTCCGACGTTTCGCTCCACGTGCCGAGAGCTTCCCTGGTTCGTGAAGCTCCCGGTGCGTGCGAATCATTTCTTGGCATGCTGTGCTGTGCTGAACCCCGAACGGTGCGCCCGATTATCACGCGGTACAACCTGAGAAACGCACCAGTGGGTTAGTTGTGCGTAGCCGTCTCCTGGAGTAAGTAAGTTAGTACGTTTATAAACGCGCAACGCTTGCAACCTAGTTGATCACGAGCATGCAGATTATATACATTGTATGGTGATCAGAGTCGGAATCACAATTTTTATTTTCGACTGCTGGAGTAATCCTATGAGCTTATGAAGTTCTGTCTACTATGGGGCGGGTCAAGCAGTGGCAGCGGTGCCCAGGCACGCATCACAAAAAACTTGCAACATCTGTCAGCACCGCCGTGTGGCTTTACAATGAAAACTAAAAAATAATAGGCGACGTTTTTTGGCAATTTGCGATGAATAAGGCCCATTTCCCAGAACGTTGCCTTTTATACATATATGTTTCTTTTTAAGGCCAGCAGTGTTTCTCTTGGCGAACAACGAGGTTATATGATGCTTTATGTCAGCCTGCACATTTTTCTTGTCTACCTGATGGGCATTCTCATCACACTGGACAGGACGTGGGGTTGATTATTTATCTAATTGCAGTGCTGTGGTGGTGGGAGCATAACGTTTTTATTTTCCTGACACGATGCGTTTAAAAATGGGTGTTGACAAAAATATAATTTCTGCGCGTTTTTTATTATTATTCGCGGTGCTTAATATAGAAACATTTTCAAGGAACCTGATTGTTATTGCGCCGTGGCTATTTCAGACGCACGCAGTTAGGGCATATTTACGCGAGAATAAAATGGACCACAAGCTGCCCAAAGAGCAAGCGTGGGGAAATAATTTACCGTTTTATGATTATAATTACACCGATCAAACGTGGAAGGTGAACTTGTGTGCCGGAGAAGACAAATAAATGACGCAACGTGTTGAGCATCAGCAATAATGGCCCGCGGTCGAGACTAAGGAATTGTAGTGGCAACGGAAAGAGGGAAAATGCCTGAAGTGGATAGAGCAATGCTGCTACGGATGACTCAATCACAATTCACTCGTAATCTGAGATCGCCCCAACACAGACCTAGTTCTTATCCTTTTCCATGTGTTCATAAGGGCAGCCTTCCCCCCCACTCCACCCTCTTCCTCCACCACCCCCACGACCACATCCATCCTCCTGTAACCGCCCTCCCCTCCCCTCCCTGCTCACGCCCCACTCCTGACCAGGCTCCCACTTTGCGCAAAAACTCCCCTTACCCCTCCGGGCGATGAGCGCCTCATGTTGACATCCCGGCAACAGGTCACAGGCTCGCTTCATCTCTCGCACACACACTCGCACAAAAGACAAAGGTCTCCCTCGTATAGCCTTGTCCAAAGACCGCTGGGGCAAGTGCCGTTCGTGAGCGCCTATTTACGGTCAGCACAGCACACAAAACGGTGTCACGAACGGCGGTATGCCGGGCCAAACCTTTTGTCCTCCCACATTTGCGATGTTTACATACCACGCCAAATACTCCTTTGAGGCCGAGTTGGCCAAGGGAAGGCCCAGCGCTGGTTCCGATAATCGCCGCTGATGTTGGTTGCGGACGGGAATCAAACTGGCACGCAACCGAACTTCGTATACCCATGTGGGGTTTGTGTGGTCAACCGTATAGCCAGCCACCTCTTGTCTCCTTAGCGCCGGTATGTACACACTGCATCGATGAACTAGGGGAGGCACAGACTAGGTTCTGATACCACTTGTAACTGACGATGCGGATCAGTAGAAACATCGAATTCCCATATTGCCACGCCCGCACACACCACTTTGCACCACACTACCCATACACACAGACACCAGCACCCCACCCTGCACCGCACTGCCCGTGCACACACTAGCACACGGCCGCACACACCACTCTGCACCGCACTACTCATGCACACAGACACCAGCACCTCACTGCACCGCACTGGCCGTACACACACTCGCACATGCCCGCACACACCACTCTGCAGTGTAGAGTTTTTTTTCCTGCTGGCGGCAGATGAGAGTAAAGTGTGTCTGGGCTCTTCCAGCCTCCGCTGACGGAGGCATTGAATGCCACGTGAACTCCCCCGTCTCTCTTGTCTGCAAATTCTCTGGCGCAGTTTGTCCCAACCGGCGGGACCATCGGTTATAGGAATCTGCCAGCGACCGTGCCCTGCTCATTGCCTTTGTGACACGGTGTTTGATAGAGGATGATTAATACGCCTTAACCTTTAGCCCTCGCATATCTGTGTTTATTTCCGTGTAGGAGGTGTTATCAAATTTCCGTTGTGTGTGTGTGTGGTAATGTCACTTGAACCAGCGAAAGCTACGTGCGCACTGACACAATCGTACCCTTTCACTTTTTTTATGATACACAGCCGATTGCATTGTGTTAGTTTAGGGATAAACTTTTGCATGCACAGTGAACGTATCAACACCATAACACTCTGATAAGCGTTGACATTCGTGTTCCCCCACCCCCATCCACTCACACCCCGAGTTGTCTTAAGAAATATGATGAGCTCCCCCCCCCCCCCCCCCCCCCCCGATATGTGCTGTGCCCTTTTTACCCATGCGTCTGTGTCCTCCGCTTTGTTTACCGTCGCCAGAAAACCCCTTGATTGCTTCAGACAAGCGGCATTTGAATAATAAAAACACGCATCGTTTTTTGACGTGCGAGTTTAACACGCACGCACACACAAAAGGATCGCAGATTAAATTACCAAATCCAGCGGCGTTGTTATTGAAATTCTTTTCACAGAAAGGCAGCGGGGCGGGTCTTGGGCGGCCTGACAGCTGCTTAGTGATGAGCCTGCTGCTAAATTTTAACGCTCGCAGGATAAAACAAGCCTTCGTGCGCGCGCAGCGGTAGGGGAGGTTGTGGGGTTTTTACTCGTCAAAGATAAAAAAAGTTTCGCGTTGTTTTTTTTTAAGTTGAATTGCTGCAAAGCATCGTCTGTTGTACACGGACCCCCCCCCCCCAGAGGCCACGTGATTGACGGACATGGCACCACGCTGCCTCTCTCTCTCTCTCTCTGTAGCACTCGGAGAAAAAAAAAAGACTTTTGTGTTTTAATGAGAAGTAATGATCGCTGGCGTAGAGGAGTTTTTAGGAATCCAAGCAGATCTGGTCTCGGTATGAAATCTCAGTCACGGCTCGTTCTCGCAGAGAGGTATTTATTTTAGTAATATTAATCTTTCAAGATATTCCTGCTTTTGCTGTGCGGTCGCGTGCCGTGCCTTTATGCACGCGTGTGTGTTTATGTGTTGGAGCGATGGTGCTCGCCGTGATACGAACCCGGCGACCCGAGTTCGATTCCCGTTCGCGGCCAACATCAGTGACGATTATCTTAATTGGTCCCGGCCCTCCCCCTAGGTCGAATATGTAAACATCGGCACCAGTGAGACGAAGGCGGCTGGGCGTGGTGCTGGCCACCCAGCCACTCCTGTGCTGTGCCGACCTCCATAGGCGCTACTCATGAACAGTACTTGCCCCAACAGTCTGTTCAGGCTATATGGTGGGATCTTTGTTTTTGTAGGTTACGTGCCGCAAATAGTTTTGCGGTGGTTTGCACGCTGCGCATTAACGGCCAACATCATTGGCAAGTGGTATCAGACAGAATTTGCTCTGGCCTACCGCGGAGGTTCACTCAGCCATAAATTAGTACCCGGTGCGGTGTGTAATCATCAGCTCTCGGGAGGCAAACGTGTGACGGGGCCTCGTGCTGAACATACAACCCTATCGTGTGCCATGCTTGCATTTATAGTTGCTCAATGGTAGCACTTGCCTCGACAGGCTTTAAGGTTATCGCGGGGGGGGAATTGTTGACCGTATATGCGCGTGTGCCAGCATTTAAAAGTACGGACGTTTTTTGTTATTGTACCGTACTTTCTACGCTCTCACTTGTATACATCTTACCTTCACCCACCCGCACTGATCGTTGTGGTGATGTATGGCCAAACAATCCCCATGACTCGCATTGCATGGGGAAGGCCTCTTCCAGTAGTGAACTGACAAAGGGCTTTACATGTACTGTACGTCTGTGTGTGTGTGTGTAACTTGGTTTTGCCCACAGAGAGCACCAGCGGCGCAAGCGACCAATGGGACGGAACAGCAGGGCAGCGTCACTTCCACGGAGCCTCCGAGCACCACCTCCGCCGCTGCCAAAGCCCCTAAAGCCCAAAAGAGTGAGCCCACGATGCCTTCGCGACTCAGTCCAAGACACGCTTTCGTGCGGTGCTGCCGGGTGGCTCGGAGGGTAGAGCGCTGAGCTGGCACCGTGGAGAGCCCGCGTCCAAAACTGCTTTTTTATTCCAACCGTTGGTGCAGTAGGGGGCACAGCTGGTGCATCCACCAGTCATCTCAGTCAGTCAACCCATGGCACCTTGGTCTGTCCCGTGACCTTCTGCCAGCAGCGAGCCCTTCGACACTTCATGTGAGTGCACCTGGCCCGGCACAGGCACCATGGTGACGTCACCGTCACTTCGTGACGAATGGCGGGTATTGGTCTCAAGTCATGTTCCTCAACAGAATCGTGACCCTGGATTGTGATAACGCGTCGAATCGTGCGAGGAGTGGGTTCAGTATCCGAATCTTTATTTTTGGAATGAAGGAGGAATCCAATGAGCAATGAAGCTCTTTTTCACACATGTCCAGCAGGGGCGGGGTCAGCAAGTGACAACAACCAATGATACAAAAACACGATAGGAGTGTAAAATAGGTAAAAGGTAAGCAAGTCACGAAAAATAAATAAATGTAACGATCAGATGCTCCGTACCTTCCTGCGTGGAACCTCTTAACCGCCGCCGTCCTCTCCGTGTCCTCCCCAACGCAGTCACCATCGCCCCCATAAGCTTCGCGATTCGTGCCAAAGAGCCCGAGGCTCTTCCCCTCGAGAAGAAGAACGCTCTGCTCGGCGACGACAGCGATGATGACGACGAGGACTTTCCGGACCCGGGCGGAGGCGGTGGCAGCGGCGACGTCGGCAGGCCAGCCACCGCCGCCTCCTCCCCCTTCTCCGCGTCCGCCTCCAAATCCAACGGCGAGGGCGGCCACGGGCGGCCCCCGGTGGCCGGCAGGGTCGGGCCGTCCCACGGGGCGACGGCTGCGACAGCCGCGACGGAGGAACGCAGACCGCAGCTGAGCCAGGAGGAGATGGAAGCCAAGCTGGGTGAGTTTGCGTCACTGCCGCTGTCATCCAAGCCGCACCGTTCGTTACATGTGCCGGCGGCAGAAATCGCCACCACCTCAGGTAGCAAAAGTTGAGTCGTGCCGATGAATTTATACGGCAGATGCGGATACCTGATGTAGAAATGCAAAATTAAAAACTCTCCAGTGTGCGACTGTGGTCATCCAGAACAGACCATACAATATATAACGACTCAATGCCCAATCCACAAATACGAAGATAGACATTACAGAGATACACTCCGCTGCTCCTGACGCGGTTATCTCGCTTGACAACCTGAATGTGAAATTGTAGTCGTTGCTCTGCATCTACATCAGCCATTCAAAAGAAGAAGAATTATACAGCTCGGAATGAGAGTTGATTATTTAAATAACCTCACTCGTTTCAAATGGATTTCACGTAATTCGCGGTGATTGACTCCGTAAATATTTTTTGCACGGCCAAAGTTACGCCACCTCGGGTGGTACCGACAAGTGAAATATCTGGTCTGGGCTCGTGGACTATATTTACAAACGTCCAGAGTTCCCCAAACGCTGGTCCCCCCCATACCCAGGGCTCGGCTTCTCACCGAATATTGTTTGGATCGCCGGTCGACTCAGAACATGCGGAATAAAACTCCCGAGGTAGAACGGCATGGAGGGAGTTTGAGCAAAAGACCGGCCATTGCGTAGAGGATTAAACAGAATTAGACTTGGAATGGGCACGTGACTGGTAGCCCACAGCTAATTGCGAAAGGTAGTAAATACTGGATGCGTTGTGCCAGGTGTGGAAATATTTTCTGGGTCGCCAGGCAGGGCAGTCCCGGCTGAAAGTAACCCCTATCCATACTCCACCGTGGTGTGCGTCTGTCTGCAGTGTTCTCTGTTCAAATGCAAACCATGCACCACCTGCGGTCCCCACTGTGCTAACTTTCTGCGTTTTGGCCGCCCAGCGCTCCGCGCGTTGTTGTGAACGTCGCTCCTCTGCCCTTCGTTGTTGTTGTATGTTGAACTTCTTTCGCACCGTACGGAGCCAACCGTGCTAATTGGAGGTGGTTGTTGGAGGGCGATTGCCTCCAGCTACCCAGTGGTGTCCTTAATTCAAAATCCTCCTTTCAACGACAATACATACTCTGTGAAATGATATTACAAGGCCTGTAATTGTCCAATTGTGTACCAGATTCTCGTTGCTTTGCTAATCGCCTGCTTAAATGACCTCTCGCCATCTCGGGTAAGACTCGCTCGTGAAAACCTTTTCCTGCCGTAGTTGTCCTTGCGGGAGAGTATTTGCGTGCGTGGTCATATTTAAAAAAATCCTAATTGACTGCACCGGGTTCTCGTGTGTAAAACGGCGTGCCTAATTAGCGCGTTGCGTCCGACCGCACTCATCACAGGTTTTTTTTTGTTCTTTCCGCAAATTCGTAATTGTAAAGTTTATCACCAACGTTTTCACCAGCGCAGTGAATACAAATTCGTGGAGAGAGACGATGCACAACTCTGGAATTTCATTCGGAGGTAGAAGGAGGGACCACGCGCGCGCAGGATCGGACAGCGTTGCGTACCCACGGTAGACCGGCTGATAATAAAAAAATCTGACGAAAGGCTTTCTTAGGAAGGACGCATCGTTGGCGGTGACGTCGGCCTTGCGGTCGACACTCGTGACACGTGGCAGCTCGAGTTGGGGGAACTTGCACCAGAGGGCTTCCCGCCTGGAAATGGAACGATACAATCGGCTTGTGTGGGCGGTATTTTTTTAAAGCAAGTTTCTGAGCGCAGGCCCAAAGTACCCTAAAACGTTGTGCGAGGTCCAGCAACGGTCGGCACACGTTCGGCACCGTTCGAGTTTTTATCGATGAGAGTTTAACCCGTTGCTCGAATGGAGCCAAGGGTTATATACAGTGAGGGAAAAGTAACGATGGGAGGGAAATCACAAAGGCGAGCAGGATGCGTGCAGTGCACGACCGCATGCGATGGCGTACACCCGGTCAGCATTTGCTGACCGGGTGTATCGAGCAAATCAAAATGGTTGGTCAGACAGGTGGCCCACAGTCTAGACAGGAATTGGGTTAGCCTCAATCTAATGGCGCACGTTTCGGGCAACAGCTGCTCGGTAACTTGGGAGCGCGTTCGCTGTAACTCACCTCGCTAGTCCTACCCTTGAGTCATCGGCCGTAATAAGCAGGCCCTGCCTTCCCTCCTTTCATGCCCCCCTTTCCGGGGGCCCTGGAATGATTTGGAGTGATGGTTAGTATTCATTAGTGCGGTTTCTGGCCCCGGTCCCTTTAAATGTTTAACAGTCTCTGCAGACACAGCCCTTGCTGTGTGTTCGTCATCAAAGGCAGTGCCGCGGAACGGGGTGTGGGGTAGCAGTTATTACGTGGTGGGTTTTTAGGCCCTTGATTGAGATGCCGTCTCTGAACCCCCCTCCATCCCCCCCACCCCCAACCACAACTCGCGTCTGTAAATTATACATTTGCTCTTTTGCACTTCGTCCACAGTATAGCATTCACGCGCTCGGGGTTTTGAGCGTTGAAAACTTCTCTGCGCCCATAGAACGTGAATCGCGGGGGTTCAGCAGCGTTGGAATGTTCCCCCCCCCCCCCCCCCCCCCGCAGTGCCTGTTTACGCACTCGCCCTTGCTCGTGGTCTCGTGGTGTTCCCAGCCTGGCACAAGCGCTGTGGCGACGTCGCTTAGTTGCAAACGGTGCCCCTCCGCCCCTCACCGTAGTCATGTGTGTGCGCGCGCGCGCATACACATTGGGCAAGCGGTGGCGGAGCAGTGAACGCAACCACGGTTGGAGTTCAAACTCCCAGCCACGGCTAACATCAGTGTCTCGGAAGTGTTACCAGAAGCAGTTGTGCGTAACACACCCTCAGCGGTTGTGGGGAGGGGGCGGTGTGTTTGGGAAGACCAAGGCGGCCCGGGCGCACGCGAGGCGACAGCTACGGCCCCCTTAAATAAGCCAGCGCTCGCCCCAGCCGTCTCTGAACGTCTCTGTTGGGGTGTGGTGGGGGGAGGGCGGGATCCCCACGAGGCGTTTCGCTCGTAGCCGCCGTGCGCTGCTCGCCGCCGGTGTGCGGATGAAAGGGGGGAGGGGGGGCGGGGCTCTCGCCCGTGCCGCCCGTTCTTCCCAGGGCGCCGGTGGCGGCGGCGGTGGCGCTAACACCGCCGCGCTATATTTGGTCTCGTTATTAGGGTGCTCTCTGCACAGGGAACCGTACTTCCTCTCATTAATTACGCAGCTACCTGTCCTTGGCACTTTTTTTGATTTCCGTGCATTTGTTAATTACGGTCTTCTATAATTATAGCGGTTTATGGAAGGATTTGAAAAGTCAACCCGATGATAAATTATGTCATTAGAGTGAGTTAGTGTTGGCTAAAAATAAACGCTTATGTGGGACTGTGTATTCAACCCTGAAATCGCATATTGGTGTTTTTTTTCTCATTTCTTCGTCAAAAGAAGAATCTCTAAAACGCTGCGGCGACGGCAGCTTCTTCTTCGCAATTAATCCTTTTGGCAGCCCCCCCCCGCCTACCCCCCGTTACCTGACCTAAAATTGTAGTTCAGAGAAAAATGAGCGAGAAACGCTTCTCCTTCTTGAGTGCGTTCACTGGGAGTCGGCAAATAAGTGAAAGTCCTTCTTTAGCATTCGCCGCGTAATTTTGCAATCGTCAACGATGCCAAAAAATGTAATGGCCCCCACCCCCCAAGTCGTTTTGTTGAGGTCCTGAAGAAATATCCTGGCCCGTGCGAGCGCGGTAACATCATCCTCATCATATGCGGGCACGCGGGCACACACTGTTCACTCTCTGCGCCATTAGCACCACCAAGTACCTCGCACTAATGAGGTTATTTTTTTTTTCTCCCACCAAACAAAATATTTGTAATGCAAATAAATAGAAAGGCGTGCACGGCCGAGGAGGTCACGAGGTCAGCTGTTGATGCGCGCTTGCTCATTGCTCGCAGATTGTCGGCAGTGATTATAGCTGTGAGCGTTTGTTTACCCAGGAGAGGCTCGCCCGAGTCGTATTTCAGGAGAGGCTCCTGCTGCATTGGAATGTTTGGCCGATTCCACGAATGAGCCCGTTTGGGCTTTGTGCGGGTTTTTTGAAACCAGTTTGCGCGGAGAAAAAGGCTCGCCCGCGTGTACGTAGGGGATCACGCCAAAGGCTCCTGCGCTCATATGGGTTCTCCGCTTGGCTCTTGCGATGTTGCCGCTCGATCGTGCGTGTGGGTTGGACATTCTTGCGTCCTCGAGAGGCAGGTCCGCGTGTGATTTTCTCTTCTTCCTGCACTGCCTGCCACCGGCCGCAGTGGTATTTGTAACGTTCGGCAGGTCCCTACGGGGTCGCGGAACGAGCTAAGGATAAAGCTTTTGAGGGCGGGGCTTTTAAGTGCGCGCCCGCCCGAGCCATCGTCGCCCTTCCACCCCCACCCCCACCCATCAGCCTCGCTCTTCTCGCAGCGAGTTGCAGACGAGGCCAAGCGCGCCTCGAGAAACGTGTGGCTTTAATCGCACGTCTATAGAGCCTCAAGCAAGCAAGAACACTACGTCTGTAATTTTTAGCGGCGGAATTGTCGACCTCCAAAGATGACGATGATGTCATCGTCAGCCGGGATGAATGCATCTTCCGGGATCCCTGGATGCGTCTCCTACGCCTCAGAAGGCGGAGGGATACCCAGAATTCCACTGCTTCCCCCCCCCACTCCTTCATTAAGGTTTTTTGGAGGGTTAGATCACGTAAATATAAAGTGTGTCGCTAAAGCCGCCAATCGCCTCCACACAGCCAATGAGTAAGGTTCGGCATGTAAACATTACGTGTCAATTAGTGACTACTTCAGCACACCGGTGTGTTGGAGAGTAAACTCATAACACTTACAATTCTAGTACCATGGCGTTCTGCTGGTGATGGCCATATTTGAGAAGAAATGCTCCTTCGTTGAGCCGTGGGCGTCCTATTAGGCTGCTCTTCATCCTTCGATTGAAGAGCTGACACACACACACACACTTCCTGTTTGTGTCCTTATCCTGGATTTTGGTGTTCTTACGCTGTCTCGTTGAGGAGTCCTCCACTCCGATTAGCGCGGTGTGAAAGAAGTTCAACACCGCTTGTGTTCTGTTCAGTGTCAAGACGTCTCCCCCTAACCACCCTCTTAATAATAACAATTATGACATTTATAACACGCCAAGTCAGCGTGGAGCCAAACTCAAGGCTGCTCGAAAGCCTGACCAAACAGATAGAGGCCTTTAGATGTTTCTTGGCTACGGTATGGTGCGATCGAAGTTCAACGTTCATACGTACGTACAAGCGTGATGGTCTGGGGGGGGCGGCGACTGCCACTTTTATCGTCCCCGCGGGACAATACTAATTTTTCTGAACGTTCAAAATAACATCGGGCCACTTCTCTGCGGCGTGGACTAGATAAACGAAGTATTTGCAAGGTGCAAAACGTCGCCTTTCTCGCGAGATGAAAGTGTTCTGAAATTGGATCGGATGCGAGGCAAATGTTCACGTCGGTTATTACATGTTTCTGTTGCTTGCATTTGAATATCTATGCCTGTGCGCACCACCGCCACCACTCCCTACAGACACTGACGAACGCGCACGCACACGCACTCGCGCAGCCGCACCGTCAATATCACCGTCCTCCGCTGCCTTTGTTGTGCCGCTCCGCAGGCGTGTGGGATGCTGCGTTCTAACGTGATGCCGTTAATCATTTATTTGCCACTTCCCACTGCACTCGGACCACCTCGCTGCGTTTTTAAATGCACGGTGCGTTTTGACTTAATATTAAGGGCGGGGGGGGGGGGTGTTCCCTTTGTCAATTTTTTATTGATAGAGCCCACAGGGGACTTGACTGATGAGCTTTCCCTTTCATACGGATTCATCTTCCGCCGAGCTCCGAATGTGCTGTGGGCGTCCTATTAGGCTGCGTTTTTCTCTTCGGGAGGACGTGTGCAGCAGGACGTGTACAGCACAAAAGTGTGCATCCCAACCCCCCCCCCCCCCCCCCGTCGTCGTGTGTCTCTCTGTCTCTCCAAAAAGATTTTGGAGAGCAGATACGTTGGCCAGTATCTCCACTTGCCCTGTTGGCGTTGCTTTGTTTTGTTTTGCCAAACGGGGGTGGGGGGTGCCCGATGACCGGACGCGTTTGAAGGAAAACATTAGCGCCTTCATCGAGAAACATGAAAAGCCCTTCTAGACATACAGAGCGGGGGTGGGGGGGGGGGGCGAATCGAGGGGTGGCTAAAGGCGTTGACTTACGCGGCTTGTGTTTGCCTGTTGACGCGGGGGGGGCTCCCGTTGCCGTTCATACGCGAAGCCGCTACCTCCTTACGATGGATAGCTCGTGCTGCGGCTCGTTGGAGTTGATATTTTGTATTTTGACTATTTTACTATTTGTTTTTTTTTACCAGGTAAGGGCCCGCTGAGCTGTATAGCTCTTTTTTTCAGAAGCAACTTGGCCATCGTAAAGGGATAGCTCAATCGAGTGGCTTATCATCACGTGGAAATTTATAGCGGCCAAATACTCCAAAAACGCGTGATGTCGATGTGAAGTTGCCGGAGAAAAATGCACGCGACCACGAGGAGAAGACGCAACCTGCAAATATGCAGGTGTCAGGGTCAGGATTGAACCCACGACCTCTTGTACATTAGGCGAGGTAGTTTTCATCTCGCCACCGTGGCAAGCGATGACTTAGAGAAGGGAACAGAGTTGGTCATTTGGTTATCGTGGACTGTGGTTTCCTGCACAAGGTTTGTGCTTGTAACGGATAACGTCTGGGAGCCTCACAATTTGCATAGACGTTGCTGATTCATCATTGTTATCATGAACAGCAACAGCACCAGCAGAGCAGCAGTAATGATCTATCCATGGCTGGATGTGCCCTCGCCTTGCTTCCACTTCTCACGGTCTCGGCACTGCACCGATCCGTCCAGCTCCTGCACCGCCACCGGCCATCGTCCCTTCCAGCCTGTGACCTATCCTGCCCAAGCCCCCCGCTAACTTTCCTTGACGGTCAGCATGGAGAGAGAGGTCGCATGCGATTGAATTTCCAGTGGGAAAAACTCGCGCAGCGTTGATCGGGCCAACTGCAGCCGAAACTTTTTTTCTATTTGCCGAAGAATACGATAATCTTCGGCCTGATTTCAGATTATTTGAAAAAAGAGTGGTGGGGGTGCTGACCACGTGTGTTCTGTGGCACCTGGTGTGAGCGATGGAGGAGGGGCAGGGTGTCTGGTTCTGTAACCGGACTCAGGCAGGCCACCGGGACTCGTGCCGTCACAGATGGCCACGTCGAGTGATTGATATTGTCGAGAAATCTGGCAGGACGGGGGGCTGGCGGCGGTGTGCAGACGTAGCACGCTCACCATCCTTTGTTTCACGATAGCTTTGTAGCGGATGTACGCAACTCTGACTGTTGCCTGATGAGGCTGTTTGTAATTGCCGGAGACGCGTCAAAGGTACTCGATTTGTAAAGGTTGTGGGTTTTACTCTCCCAACACACCGGTGTGCTGAACTAGTAATGAAATCGTCACGTTTTGTGTACATGATTATCCACGCTAATGACAGAGAGGAGGGCCGCAAATTCATTCAAAATCGTGGATAATCCAAAAATATCAATTTTCCGTGTATCCCGATGCCAAAAAACGCTAATCTAGGCATAAATGATGTTTAAGTTAGGAAAATTTAGTTTTCTAATGAACAAAACAAACATTTGTAGTAGAGAATGGACTGTGCTCACTGATTACACTTCCCTGGTCCTGCGCAGAAGACTCCCACCCACAGAGTGGATGACAGCAGAGCCACGCCAATCAACATTAATAAAACTCTGCCCACTGTTGTAAAGATATGGCAACTACTGTACTGTTGAGGCGATCACATGGATTTGGGATCAACCGGAGCAACATATTTGTTCAGTTTAAGCACTCTGTGACTGATGTGAGCCTCCTGTCTATTTTCCTGTCACATGGCACATTTGGTTTGCCATATAAAAATGCCAAGGTTCATAGATTGATTACAGTCGATTCTTAAACTTGCGGCACACACGGCGAATCACGCGTGTGGAGCCCTGTGAGTGTCCATTTCGTGTGTATCGTGTGTGACTGGTTCACATGACCCCCCGCAACCAATTAGGACGCTGCACGTGTTTCTCGGTGTTAAATAAAACAATAATCGATTATGGAATAAATTCAGGACCCGGAATCATTTGGCTTGTGGTCGTAGGGAGTTAGTGGGAGGTGGTGGGTGCGGGGGGAGGGGAAGGATTGGTTCTGACACGCAACGGTACACTGATAGCTGCAGTCTTCGAAGGGAAACGACTTCATGCCGTGACACGAAGCTGATAGCGCGATTCAAAAATAATTGGGCACAAAAAAATGTAATTGGGGCCTAAAAAAAACTCCTCCGCTTTGCCTTCCCTCCACCGCCTCCTCCGCCCCATCCCCCCCCACGCCCAGCCAAGCAGCGCCTGGAGGACCGTCTGTCGGCAGCGGCGCGTGAGAAACTTGCGCAGGCCGCCAAGGAGTCGAAGGAGCGGCAGGCGCAGGCGGAGCGCGAGCGCCAGCAGGGCCTCCTGCTGGCGGCGTTGGTGGCGGCGCCGGCTGCGTCGGCGCGGGACGAGCGCGAGCGAATGCTCCAGGCCGAGAGGAGACGCAAGGCTGAGCTCTTCCTCCAGAAGCTGCGGCACCCCGGGGACGCGGGCGGCTCCGCCAAGGTGCGTGCGCGTGGCGTCGCTGTCACTGACGTTTTTGTCGCCGTCGTCATCTTACTCGTCGTTGACGTAGTCATTGTGATTATCGTCGTTACCATTGTCGGCATCATAATCGTCATTACCATTGTCATCGTGGTCACCATCGTTGCCATCCATCGCATCGTGACGGCCCGTTGAATTGCTTACCCAGGCGCGAGGGGGGCGACTCATTATAGACGCCTTGTGGGAAGGAACTTCTGGCGCTGAGAAGGTTTAGCAGCACTTGACCCTCGCCACACCAAACCTCAGCGCTCTCTTCTTCACCAGATGGAGACGGTGGCAGCGGGAGAGGTGCCGCCGGTGTTGGTCACACCGGCGGCATCGGCACTGGCGGCTGCAGCGGCGGCTGCAGCGGCGGTCGCGGCGGCCGCGGCGGCAACGGCAGCAACAACGGCGGTGGCGGCAACAGCGGCGGCAACGGCGGCGCCGGTACCACCGGCACCATCCCCTGCGCCGGACGAACCTCCGGAATCAAAGAAGGCGCGGCACTCGGGGAAGGAGAAGAAGAAGGAGAAAGAAGAGGATGAGGAGGAGAGGAAGAGGAGGAGGTCACGCGAGAGGAGCCGCTCGCCGCGTCACGAGCGCGGCGCCCCGAGGGACAAGGGGGGGGCGCGCAAGAAGAAGAGCTCGCGCGACAAGAAGAAGGCGAAGAGGTCAAAGCGCGAGCGGAGGTCCCGCTCACGCTCGGCTCCCCGCTCGCGCTCCCGCCCGCGCTCGAGCTCGCGCTCCAAGCAGCCGCTGCCCAGCGCGTACAAGTCAGCGCGGCGCTCACGGTAAGCAGAGTCAAGAGCTGAAGGGGGGTGGGGGGTGTCGCTTTGGTGAGATGTTAACTACCTCGCCTGGTGTACAAAAAGAGGTCGTGGTTTTTCGATCCCGGTATTGACTAGGCCTGTATATTTGGAGTTCGCGTGTCTCTCTCTCCCCGTGGTCGTGTGATATAAGCCACTTCGTTGAGCTATCATTTGTGATAGCCAGGTCGCTTCTGAAAAATAACTGTATAGCTCAGTGGATCTTACCTGGTGAAATAAAAAGTTTAGTTTATTTTAGTTGGTTTGAACGTGCGTGTCGTATGCGGTGGCGGGGGGGGGGTTTAGGCTTAGAAGCGACACTCGCAACATCGGCCGGAGTGCCGGGCATCTGCCAGTCATCTCGGTCAGGTAATCCATTCCACCTGGGACCGTGTCCCCGTGACCGCCTGCCATGTGGCAAGCCTTCGATATTTCACATAGCAGCCTCAAAGTGCAGCTAGTCTGGCATAAGCGCTGTGGTGACATCGCCGTCACTTAGCTGCTGCCGCTGTTGTTGTTGTCGCGGCTGTTGCGTGTTAAATTGGGCCAGTCGGAAATCATTGCTTCCTACCCACGTAATTAGACAAATGTGTTTTGTGGGTGTGAAGAGTCACTTTTAAACAACAAAACGATTAAACGTTCCACATCTCGTCATCGTCGGCCACGGTAAATTCTGCTGCTGGATGAAGGCCCCCTCCGCAAGCCTCCGCCGTCCGTCGCGGTCTTGAGACGCAGCGGTCCCTCTCCGTCTCGTGCCTGGTTTCTTGGCTCCATCTCCGCAAGTGAAACGCCCTCTCGGGTGCGGCGTGGTTCTCTCGAGCCTCTTGATTTGGCAAATCTCTGTTGTCGGCCGCAGGTCCCGGTCGCGGTCCGTGGAGCAGCGGAAGGAGGACACCCTGCCGAGTGCCTACCGCGTGTCCACCAGCCCCGTCCGGAGCACGAGGAGGTGGGGCAGCCATTATCCATCTCCCCTATCTCTCTGTCTCCATTCTCTCTCCCAACTCCCCTGTCTCTCCGTCCCCACTTTCTCCACTCTCTCCCCCCATCTCCCCGGTCTCCACCTCTCTCCACCCTCTCGATATCCGCTCACTACCAATAACAGTGGGGAATATTTGAACTGGTCTTGGCCCTCCCCTGGGTTGCCTCGGCCTCAAATGAGTACCTAGTGCGGTGTGTAAATATCGCCACGAGGGAGACAAAGGCGGTTGGGCGTGATGCTGGCCACCCCCTCTTGTGCCATGCCGGCCTTCATAGGTGATCTCTAACAGAACTTGCTCCTATAGTCTGTTAAGGCTGTATGGGGCATCTTTATATTTGGAGCCCAGGTGTGTGTCTGTGTCTGAGAGCCCGTTGTGTGTGTGTGTGGGAGCCCTGGTGTGTGTGTGTCTGGGAGCCCGGTGTGTGTGTGTCTGGGAGCCGTGTGTGTGTGTGTCTGGGAGCCCGGTGTGTGTGTGTGTTTGGGAGCCCGGTGTGTGTGTCTGGGAGCTCGGTGTGTGTGTGTGTGTGTCTGGGAGCCCGGTGTGTGTGTGTGTCTGGGAGCCCGGTGTGTGTGTGTCTGGGAGCCTTGGTGTGTGTGTGTGTGTGTCTGGGAGCCGTGGTGTGTGTGTGTGTCTGGGAGCCCTGGTGTGTGTGTCTGGGAGCCCTGGGGTGTGTGTGTCTGGGAGCCGTGGTGTATGTGTGTGTCTGGGAGTCCTAGTGTGTGTGTGTCTGGGAGCCCTGGTGTGTGTGTGTCTGGGAGCCCTGGTGTGTGTGTGTGTGTCTGGGAGCCCTGGTGTGTGTGTGTGTGTCTGGGAGCCCGGTGTGTGTGTGTCTCTGGGAGCCCGGTGTGTGTTTGGGAGCCGTGGTGTATGTGTGTTTCTGGGAGTCCTAGTGTGTGTGTGTCTGGGAGTCCTAGTGTGTGTGTGTCTGGGAGCCCTGGTGTGTGTGTGTGTGTGTCTGGGAGCCCTGGTGTGTGGGTGTGTCTGGGAGCCCTGGTGTGTGGGTGTGTCTGGGAGCCCTGGTGTGTGGGTGTGTCTGGGAGCCCTGGTGTGTGTGTGTCTGGGAGCCCTGGTGTGTGTGTGTGTCTGGAAGCCCTGGTGTGTGTGTGTGTGTGTCTGCAAGCCCTGGTGTGTGTGTGTGTGTGTCTGGGAGCCCTGGTGTGTGTCTGGAAGCCCTGGTGTGTGTGTGTGTGTCTGGGAGCCCTGGTGTGTGTGTGTGTGTCTGGAAGCCCTGGTGTGTGTGTGTGTCTGGGAGCCCTGGTGTGTGTCTGGGAGCCCGGTGTGTGTGTGTGTGTCTGGAAGCCCTGGTGTGTGTGTGTGTCTGGGAGCCCTGGTGTGTGTCTGGGAGCCCTGGTGTGTGGGTGTGTCTGGGAGCCCTGGTGTGTGTGTGTGTGTGTCTGGGAGCCCTGGTGTGTGTCTGGGAGCCCGGTGTGTGTGTGTGTGTCTGGAAGCCCTGGTGTGTGTGTGTGTCTGGGAGCCCTGGTGTGTGTCTGGGAGCCCTGGTGTGTGTGTGTGTGTCTGGAAGCCCTGGTGTGTGTGTGTGTCTGGGAGCCCGGTGTTTGTGTGTGAGTGTCTGGGAGCCCTGGTGTGTGGCTTTTGCGCTCGCGGGCTCGGAAGAGACGCGTCACCCGCGTGTCCGCTCGCTCCCACCATCCCCCCACCATCCCCCCACCACCCCCCACCACCCCCCAACCGCCCTCCACGCCGCCTGCCAGGTCGCCCAAGGAGCACAAGCGGAAGAGGTCGCCCAGGGCGGAGGGGGAGGACGACGTCCACCGCAGGAAGAAGCATCCCCAGCCTCACCCGAAGCGCCACGCGCGGCCCTCGCACGCGCCCAACGCCGGCGGGGGGGCGGAGCCCTCCTCCTCTTCCACCTCCTCCTCGAGGAAGAAGAAGCGCGACCACTCGCGCTCGGTGGAGCCCGACGCGTCCCAGCCCAGCGACGCGAGCAACTCCTCCTCCGCCGTCGCCGCCACCACCACCACCACGCGCACGCACGGGCACGCCACGTACGTCGCCAGCTGATGGAGGCAGTGGAGTTGGCGTTATTGATTTGGTGGTAATGGTGGCGGTGGCCATGATGGGTGGTGGTGATGTTTGGCGGTGGTGGTGATGGTTGTGATGGTGGCAGTGGCGCGGTGGTGATGATGGGTGGTGATAGTTGTGGAGCTGGTGGTGGTAATGGTGGTTGTGGTGGTGAAAGTGACGGCGATGGAGGTGTTGTTGATGTGGTTGTGGGGTGGTAGTGGTAATGGGTTGGGATAGCACGGTTAGAGACGTCTCGTCCAGAAGTGGGGACCTGTACTAAAACCGACTTGGAGAGAGATGGGTTTAGGTAGGGATGCGGAGATATGGAAAGAGACAGAGGGAGAGAGGAATACAGAAATAAGACGTGGAGAGAGAGACAAAGAGAGCAACATATACCGAGAGAGAAACTCAGATATGTCGAGAGACAGACACGGTGATAGATATTGGAGAGAGACACGCACACACACAGACAGGCAGAAGGACAGCGGGGGTGGGGAATGCCTGTCTGAGAGCGACATAGACATGGATCTGGAACGACATGGAGAGTGACAGAGGTACGTGCCGCGACAAGAGCGTCACAAAGCGAGACACGAGCGGACTTGCAGAGCGATATGACAAGTGGTGCGCGGAGAAACGCACGGGTGCAAGACAAACCGAGACGCACACAAGAGGCGGAGAAAGAGAGCGCGAGTTTAGAGGGAGAGAGCGACGGGGAGAGAGATGTGGGGGGGCTCGCGCGTCGCCGCTGTGCTGCGGTTTTCAAGCATCGCGTATCTGTGTTGACTGCGAATCGCTTGGGGGATGCGCTGCAACACTTTTGTATGTGGTTTATTAGCTTGCGGCTTGAAGGCATGTGCACGCCACGGTCATTAATCAAGGGTCATTTAATTTTAACCGAGCACTTCACTAAAGCTTTGCCCCATTTCTTTTTTTTTTATCTTTTCTTTTTTTTGGTACGTTCGCTAACTCACTCGCTCGCTTCGTTAACAGGCCTCTGGTTCCGGAGAAGGACGGCACCGCCTCTCCGACTCTCTCCGCGGTTCAAGTCAAAATCACTCAGGTGGGAATCGCGCTCTCGGGCGCGGGGATTCCGAGCAGACCCGTCGGCCAATCTGTCGTCGAGTCGCTTACTTTGACGGAGTTGGACGAGAGAGCCCGTCCGGGCGTTAAACATATTTTTGGCACGCCGCCACCACCACTGCGGATGTTGTGGAGCTCAACAAAGCCCTTCGCGAGCGCCGCCGGTTCTCGTGTAACGCGCGAGCGTGTGTTGAGGGCGGGGGCCGATTGGCGCGCGAGGTTACGGAAGACGTGGATCGCGATCGGAGGGTCACAAGTTCAGATCCCACTTGGCAGGCTCGTTCAGCTTTTGATCCCCCCTCCCCCCAAATTCGTGAGAAGCCGCCAATCATTGTTCCGTGAAATGAATCGCCCCCCACCCCGTCCCCTCTGTCGGATGATGAGTACGCCATGCTCGTGTGAGCAGGGTAACCGTGACTTAGGCTGCAAGCTGGCCAGTAGATGGCACTACAGCAAAGGGCTTCGTGAACCCATCCGTGCGGGCCACTAAGTGTTGTCTCCTCTCTTGCTTGGGTTTTCTCCAGGTGCTTTGGTTTTCCTCCCACGAGCAAGTAATTTTGTCAGCTCTTTATCAATCGACTGCTGCATGAATGCCTCCCCCATACTGGGTTCGTCGTGGGGATTGTGTGAACAATGCTTCACCGCTCCGTTCGTTGCAGGTTGGCGGAGGAGGGCCCCTCGGAATGTTTCACATTTGATTCGCCACTGATGTTAGCCGTGTGCAGGAATCGAACTCGGGTTGGCCCGGTTGAATCGCTCTCCAAACGCAGTTGGCCAAATCTCCCAGTGCAGGGAACCTGCCGAAGACGAGCTTTTAGACTCGGCGACGCTTTCCAGAATAAATAAATGACCCATCATCGATTGTTAAACGTCCAGTCTGACAGCACAGGATGTGGTGGAGCTTTGCTCAACGTTTGTCTGCGAGGGGGTGGGGGTGGCGCGGGGTGGGGAGGGTGGGGTGGGGGGAGATGGGTGCTCGTGTTTTGAGACCGTGGGGGTGGTGATGGCTCCTCTTCCCGCGCGCGTGTGCTGCAGGATATCATGGCGCGAGTGAAGGCGATGCTGGCCGCTGAGAAGGAGCTCCCTTCGCCCTCGCCCAGCTGAGAACAACAACAACGGCACAACGCCGCAAGCCACTGCACAAAACATGACGGCGTATCGCCGTTTCGTTCATTAAATCGTCACAAGAGTTGAACTTTTTCGCCAAACGGTGTTGTGTTTTTTTTGCACCCCCCACACGGCCGTTTTGTTTTTAATGCCACGCAGCGAGGCCAGGTGTGGCGTATGTCCGTATGTTGAACTTCTTGCGTAGCCAACCCGTACTAATCGGAGGTGCGGGGGAAGGGCAACAAACCGAATTAATATCCGCAGCGTTAACGTGCCGCGGAATTAATTTTTGGTTTTGCTTCTCCGTTAAATAAAGCAGGCCGAGGTTATTTGTTCGCGCTACAGGGCTGGTAAATTTAAGGAAAAGGGATAACAACGCTAGCAGCGTCGTACGATCGACCTGTCTCCGGGGATGGTCTTCCGAGAGACCTGTCCTGTTGTTCCCCCCCACCCCACAAGCTGTACGGAGAGGAACACGTGCGAGGCACCACCAGGCTTCCCGTTACCACATCTGGCCTCCTAGAAGCCATATTACCACATTACGTTGGCGGACATCTGCCGATGAGTTTTCTTTCTTGTAAATAAGTAGTATCCCTTTCGTTAAAGAAAAAAAGGTTCAACTTGTCTTAACAGTTATTTTTTTTGTTACGAAATGAATTTTAAAGGAACAAAGTTTGTGACAGTTTCTCCTTTGTTCAATCGCTGGTGACCCGTTAACCGGCTATTCTGATTGCCCTTGTAAATAAATAGAAATGAACGTGCGGATCTAGTCGCCTGCATTTGGTGGAATAAAGTTTGTGGCTTGTCTTTTTTTGAACGAATGCCATTTTAACTCCCGTCGGTCGCGTTTTGTCGCTAGGACGCATGCAACGATTCACGCGCCCCCTTCTCTCGCTGTCGCAATTCTGTGAATTGTCAACGATTCGGGGGGGGGGGGGGGGCCGGGGGTGCTGCAATCGAGACTTTGATCGTCAGCCGTTGGGGGCCCGTGCGGTGCGCCCCTCTTTGAGTAGCTGCTGCACGGGGGGGGGGGGGGGGGGGGGGTCACGTGAACTCGCCGGCCGACGATTCGACGCGCGTCGAGAGAGCCGAGCTGTCGAATAATTGTAACGGGGAGCATGGCCTGTTTGGCGCGTTGAAGGCGAGACGGTTTCCTTGGATTCATCACGGGGAGGGGCCTCATGCTGGATGTAGCAGAGAGAGGAAATCGAGATGTGAAGGTGGTGGTGGCGTTGGTGGCATCGACAGCATTTGTCCAGTTGACCACTTGAACTTCACGTCAGGTCGAATGCACTGCCTACAAAGGGGCGTTTGCACACTTTTGGACTTTTCACAGTTTTTTTGGGGGGGGAATTTTTCAACAATTTAAATTCTTTGCACTGTGGGTGTTTCGAGGGTACCAACTCTGATTGCTTTTTTTCCTTTCCCGTGCACGTCTCTTTGAGGAAACATCCCAACAGTCTGACCCATGTTCAGCCTAACAAGCTCAGGATGTTGCTATCGTGCCGCACTCTTATCCCATCCCGAGCGCCCGTCGGCACCGTCAGGAACCTTCCTGCGTGCCTCGTCTGGCGGATAGTTTCCCGAGAGGCCCCAAGTGAGTGCGCGCGCGAAATTAAACGCCTGCGACCGAGCCGTCGCCGTCAAACCGAACTCCGCGCGCCAACGAAGTTTAACCTGGAGGAGCCCCCGAAGTTCAACCGGCGGGGGAACGTCAGCGTTGCTGGTGTAGTGACCGAAGCCGCCAGACCTCCCTCCTCCCAGTGCAATCCCCTGATGCGTGCGTTGGCTTGGAACTGACCTTGTTAACCTTTGACCCTGTCTGTATTATTACCCCCATGCTCCCCATCACTGCGGAACCCACCATCACGGGTTCTCGCCCGTTCCACGCATTGGAAGTCGCTGCACCGTGATGTATGGAGCACCGAATCAAGTTGAAATAAATTGCTGTCGGTGTTACATGGGATAAAATATACTATTCCCTCCCCCATATTGCTGGGGCGAGTGCTGTTAGCGAGCACCCGTTAAGGTCGGAAAAGGGCACGAGTGGGGGTTGTTTGCCGGCACCACGCCGAGCCACTTTTCCCCCACCTCCCCAGTGCCGACGATTACACACTGTGCCAGGTACTCGTTTAAGGCCGAGTCGACCTAGGGGAGGCTAAAAGAAACCAGTTCAGATATCCAGTCGCCGCTGACACGAGCCATGGCCTAGGATCGAACTCTGGAAGCTGGGTCCGTAGGACGGTGCTCAAACCGCTGCACCACCGAAGGGATATACTGGGTTAGGCACACCAAGTTCCCGACTAGGAGAAGCAGTGCTCTCTTCATCGCGGTCAGGGGTGCGGGGGTGCGGAATGTGTTGAACAATAATCCGGCGCGTGCAATGGTGCAACGACGTAATTTGAATTGGCGCGGGGAATATTGGGAAAGGTAGGAGAAAGAAGAGCGCCTGGCCTCGGGCTAAGCATCCCAAGGGGAGTCCACTCGCGCGCAGAGATGGTGTGTGTGTGTGTGCTCGCGCGCGTCTAGCGTTAAACTTTGTTTAACTGATGCTTCCGAACTTGTCCAAATAAACTTGTTTCAAAATGAAATGGAGGACTGCGATGTGTTCGGCCCTTGTTTATTATTAAGAGCCTCTCCTGTACGGGGAGGACTGGCTGGCGACTCCCCCCCCACCCCCCCTGCTGTCTGTGCGAGGTTGGCCTGGTGGTCGTGGTCCAGCCGTCGGAGGGTACCCGGCGGGAATTCAGTGGGACCATCCTGTTTGCTGCGGCCTCCACACCACCTTCCATTCACAGCACCTCACCTGGGGGTGGGCCCCACGTCGCAGTTGCGTCTCCCCCCTCACCCCCCCCCCCCACACGGCACGTCCAAGAGCGACGTCGCTTGTTCGAAAATCCGGTTGCGTGTTTTAGTTTTTCTGGTGCAGCGAAGATGGACCTCGAATCAGTCGCAGACGATCGCGCAAAATATCTCGAGGGACCCGTGCAGCGTGGTCCGTCTCGGCTGAATTTGGCAAAATTCCACCTCCCGATTTAAGGGGAGAAAACAAATGAGTTTGTTTTGGCATGCGATAAACACTTCTCGCACGGCATATAAAACTATAACCCAAGTACAGCATGAGAATAAGTTGCGTGGTGTTTATGTGTGTGGGGGCGGGGGGGGGGGGCCTGGGCCTCCCCTAGGTCGACTCGACCTCAAATGAGTACCTGGTGTGATGTGTGAGCATCGCCACTGGGGAGACAAAGGCGGCCGGACGTTGTGTTGGCCACTCACCCCCTCGTGTGCCGTACCGGCCTTCATAGGTGCTCGCTAACAGCACTTGCCACAAAAGTCTGTTAAGGCTAGACGGGGGATATTTGTCTTTGGGATCTGTGACAGCGGTGCACCGCTCGCTGCAGATTTCTGAATTGAGACGTCTTCGTGTCACAAGGATGTAAGTTGAACTTCTTTCGCACCGTACGTAACCAACCGTGCTCATCGGAGGTGCGGGGCGCGGGGGAGGGAGGACGACCAAACACAAAGCGGTTCTAGAGAAATTACTTTTCAATGAAGTCGATGGTCGGAATCCAGCAAACGAAACGACCGCACGCAAACAAATCCATCGCGTGACAAATCCTCAAGCGTTCTCCCGAGTGCAATAGGAGTGCGATTGAAGAGGGGATGGGGGCGGTGGGTTAAGAGCCGCAGATCACGTCGAAATGAAATCAGTCGCGAAGAAAAATCCACGCGCAACGCGCATGGATTATACGAGTCGCTCCGATAGGCGTTCGTCTTCATCGGTGCGGTATTGGATAAAGCGGTCGGGAAGGCGATGAGGAGTGAAATGCCCTTTTCATGTTTTCAAATCGTCCTTTCGTGCTCCGGGTACGTTCGTCTCCCGAGAGAACATTTTCGGGCAAACCCTTTCAAGCACGTGGCCCGGTGCTCGATCGTGCCAAGCAAGGCCCATAAAAAACACACCGTTCGCGACACGACGAGGTGACACCGCTAAATTTTCACTCGCAATCGGATCGTGCGGTGTTTTTAAACCACGGCGAGGATTGCTTACGCGCCCCGCCGTTGCCGACTCCCGCGACTCGTAAACAACAGCTGAGAGCCACGGTGGTTACATCGCTGGATAATTGGAAGCGGGGGCGGGGGTTGGTGGTGGGGGAACTTATATTTTAAAACTTCACTGTTTACAGTTGCGCTGTCTCGTGCGCTCGAGAAATTACAGACATTGGCTGTCCAACTTTGAAAAATTCTTGGAAACTAGTTTCCCCCCCCCTTACACATCCCTTTAAAAAAAAATCGAGGGCGTCCGTGAGGTTATAAATCCACGTTCCCCCCCTCGCCCGCCCGCCCACCCACCCAACTCCTGGAGATAAACGCTGACGCTTCATTTTATCATAGCAGGGGTAGAACAATGCCGAAAGAGTAAACCCGCCCAATGTGTGCGTATGCTCATCAAAACAACGCGAGCGCATGCCACGCACAACCCCCAACACGAGGAGGCCGACAGGGAGCCCCGTGCCGATTGTCTTTGTTGAGGCCTGCCATTGTCAGGGCCCATCTTGCGATAAGCCCATCGTCGTCGTCGACAGCCGTGGTCAATCCACTGCTGGATGAGGAAGGCCTTCCCTAAAGGCCACCAGCCACCCTTTCTCGCGACGCTGCGGTGTGATAAATGCACCCAGCGCGCGCACTAAAAACAAACTTGACTCGTCCGTCATTCCGTCTCCTCGGGTTTGACGTGATAATCCCACGACTTGTACATGCAAGTAGTATATTAAAAATATATATATACCAGTTGGCTTGCCGTCTCGTCTGCGGCACTTATTTGATTATTTTACTCTCACGTTACCTTAAATCAGGGGTCGCCAACCTGCGGCTGTCTAAAAAAGACTCCGTGACGGAATTCGAACAAAAAAGTATCCTCTCGTTACTTCGCTCGCCGAACCCCCCCCCCCCCCCCGTCGAGTCATTACAACATCGACGTGAGAATTCAACCTCTGCGGAACCCATCCCCTCCTCAATCCTATTCGGGCCCCGTCGTCTCTTGCTCCTCATTCGGCTCTGCGCCTTTCCCTTACCAGGGCCGCCCCTTCCTCTGTAGGGCCCTCGCCTCTCTCGACGTGGACAACTCTCCCCTTCCTCCCGGCGCCACGTGGTGGGTCGGTTGGCTTTGGGTTGTGGTGGAGTTTGAGGGTTGGGGGGCGGTGTTGTGAAAGGCGATTGGGGTGGAGTGGCGGCAGGAGGTAGGGGTGGGTGGGTGGGGGCAGGAGGTAGGGGTGGGTGGGTGGGGGCAGGAGGTAGGGGTGGGTGGGGGCAGGAGGTACGGGTGGGTGGGTGGGGGCAGGAGGTAGGGGTGGGTGGGGGCAGAGGGTAGGGGTGGGTGGGTGGGGGCAGGAGGTAGGGGTGGGTGGGTGGGGGCAGGAGGTAGGGGTGGGTGGGGGCAGGAGGGAGGGGTGGGTGGGTGGGGGCAGGAGGTATGGGTGGGTGGGTGGTGGCAAGAGGTAGGGGTGGGTGGGTGGCGGCAGGAGATAGGGGCGAGTGGGTGGGTGGCAGCAGAGGGTAGGGGTGGGTGGGTGGCGGCAGGAGGTATGGGCGAGTGGGTGGGTGTCGGCAGGAGGTATGGGTGGGTGGGTGCCGGCAGGAGCTAGGGGCGAGTGGGTGGGTGGCGGCAGGAGGTATGGGTGGGTGGGTGCCGGCAGGAGCTAGGGGCGAGTCTGCTTCTCGGGATGCTCCTGCCTCCACCGAGATGTTTTGGCCATCTCTTGAGACTCACGTGACCGTGCAATTGATTCCCACGTGTTGTTGTCACTGCTGCTGCTTACCTGCTTACAGTAACTCACTCGGCCATATTTATCGCAGTGCATCACTGGGCAGCTGCTTGTCCATGGTTAAGGGCTCGAATGTTTCTGTAACCTTAAGACACTTGGGGGTTCCTATCTCAGTTTATTGGGCCCACCCCCTACCTCCCCCCCATCCCCTCTTCCCCGCCAAGGTTTTTCCAGTCGGTGTCTCGCCGATCTAGACCCCCTCTGGGATTGACGTGCACTTCACGTGCGTGACGCTCTCCCCACTCAACGATGTCTCTCAAACCAACTGGAAGGGCTTTAGCCCAGAGTTTGCCAAGTCTCACGGGGGCAAAAATGTACATGTCCACGAAATATTTTTCGATTTAAAGCTTTCGTGACTGCAAGGATTCATCTTCTTTGGTTCTTTCGGTAAAGTCACGTAGAATGAGAATAAAATAATAAATTGATAAAATAAAATAACACAATAAAATTCTCACGACGTTTCGGCCACAACACAAGCGGCCTTCATCAGGTGAAGGGACGAGACTGTCTGGAGGACAGTGAGAATTTCGTTATGTGTTATTTTATTTTATCAATTTATTATTTTATTCTCATTCTACGTGACTTTACCGAAAGAACCAAAGAAAACGAAATATTTTTTTTTTACCAGGTAAGGCCCACTGAGCCATATAGCTCTTTTTTTCAGAAGCGACCTGGCCACAAACGATAGCCCAACGAAGTGGCTTATAACGTGGAAATGTATGGTAGCCAAATGCTCTAAACGCGTGTTTATGAATGTGGAAGGTATCGAACCCACGACCTCCTTGTACACCAGGCGAGGTAGTTAACATCTCATAGCCACCGTGATGATGATGAGAGAGAGAAACACGCAAACTCAAAATATACAGCAGCAGGCGTCAGGGCCGGATCGAGCCCACGATCTCCTGCATACCAGGCGAGGTAGTTAACATCTCCTAGCCACCGTGATGATGATGAGAGAGAGAGAGACGCAAACTCAAAATATACAGCAGGCGTCAAGATCAGGATCGAACCCACGACCCTCTGTACTCCAGGTGAGGTAGTCAACATCTCGCTACTGCGGCGCCCCTAAAGAAAGAGAGAGAGAGAGAGCTGCATCAGCCATGCCACATGTCCGTGATGCAGTCATTTTTAGTCTGTTGATGATCGGCGATTCGGCAATCGACTCATCTCGACGAGCTGTACACGATGCACCACTACGGTGCATACGATCGTCCTCGCTGCGTTTCGACATCGCGGAGTAGCACCGCCGATTTCGGATTGATTGGTTACCCCAGTCGCGGAGTTTAGTAACACCCCTGGGAAAAAAAATAGTGTCCCAGAAATAAAATATTTAATTGCCTCGGTCATTTTGTATTATTTTGACCCCGGGTTACCGCCATAAGGATCCTTTGCCCCATATCCGGAGGAGGAGGAGCGCGGAGTGGGGGGGTGACAGAAGTCCTGAAGAGAGAGAGAGAGAATGATTGGAGGCGGAGCATCGAGAGAGCGGGCGGAGTGGGAACGTAAAACAGCTGCTCACAGACTCCGCAGCCGGGGTTGTTAACCCGTTGCGGGAAGAGACCGCGAACCTCGTTGCTCCGTCGACGTCGCGTTCTCGTTCTCAGGAAAAGAGGACGCCACCAACCTCGACTGGTTTGACATTCCGTGCAGAAAGAAACAGAACAAGAGCCTCGAGGCTGGTTGGAGTCCTCTTCCAGGATTAAATCGGGGTTCTGATTCTAAGCTCTCCTCGTCCGATCCTTGTTTTAAAAGTCCGTCCCCAAAACCGCG